AGACGCAGGGCGTCTTTTGTCTTTGAGGTCTATACAGACGGGATCAAATATGGGATTTTATGCTTAAAAAAACAACAACAAGAAATCCAGATGTCTGGGATAAGCATCTTTTCTGTTCAAGAGCTGACATAGGGAGGTCTGCAGGTGGATCAAACACAACTTCTGGAGGAGGGAACGAACGGACTGGCAATGTGAGTGGGTGGGTTTTCCTCCCTCAAGGCACAAACGACCAGGTTCAAGCTACGACATTTTGAGCAGACTGACGACGCAAAGGCTCGGCTTCTCGTAAAACTAGCATAGGGGGAAGAAAAGAGAAGAAGCTGGACTCAGTTAACCTGGTTGATAGAAGTAGTAATAGTAGTAAAGTTGGAAGGGACCTTGGAGGTCATCTAGTCCAACCCCCGGCTCAGGCAGGAAACCCTACACCAGTGGTTCTCAACCTTTCTAATTCCGCGACCCCATAATACAGTTCCCCATGTTGTGGTGACCCCCAACCACTTATACATCACCAGGTGCCAAGGGTGTGGCCAAAGAAAAGGGGGAAAAAATGGCGGACAGCCTTGTTTGGCGACCCCCGTGAAATGGTCGTTCGACCCCAAATGGGGTCCCGACCCACAGGTTGAGAACCACTGCCCTACACCATTTCGGAGAAATGGCTGTCCAGTCTCTAGATGAGGGGCAGATGGCCCCAGAGGAGGTCTGTCCATACGGTCGGTCGCTAAGAGTCCCCACAGACCTCATGGCTCACATTCAACCAACCTGCCATTTCATACTGACTGTCCGTCCTAAAGTCTTCTCATCCTGCCTTTTTTCCCCTTTCTCTCTCCTAATCAGCCTTGCCCAACGAGATGCAGGTTTGGGCATTCTTGACATCAATACATGAGAAGGGAAAAAAATAATAATGCAAACTTTTGTTGACCCAAAAGTGCCTCTTCAAGAGGCAACTGGACTTTTTGATTTTTCTTTGAAGATGTTTCGAATAACAACAACAACAACAACAACAATAATAAAACTTGGAAGGGACCTTGGAGGTCATCTAATCCAACCCCCTGCCCAAGCGGGAAATCCTATACCATTTCAGACAAATGGCTGTCCAGTCTCTTCTTAAAAACTTCCAGTGTTGGAGCATTCACCACTTCTGGAGGCAGGTGGTTCCACTGGTTAATTGTCCTCACTGTCAGGGAATTTCTCCTTAGTTCCAGGTTGCTTCTCTCCTTGGTTAGTTTCCATCCGTTGCTTCTTATCCTGCCTTCAGGCGCTTTGGACGATAGCTTGACTCCCTCTTCTTTGGGGCAGCCCCTAGAGATATTAGAAGACGGCTATCGTGTCCCCCCCTCGTCCTTCTGTTCGTGCTGAAGAAGCTTCTTCACTGAGAAGCAAAACATCTTCAAAGAAAAATCAGAAAGTCCAGTTGCCTCTTGGAAAAAGCACCTTTGGGACAACCAATGTCCTGGTTGACTGAGAATCTCCGTAGAAACCCTTTGTTGGATTCGCACGTGGGACCAGAAAACGAATTCCATGGTTAAACGTTTAAAGAAGACTTTGGTTTGCCAAATTCACCGTGGCCCCACCTTCCCTCTCTTAATCCCTCCGTACTAGAACTGTAGGCTACCGCCAAATAAACATAATTACAGCCCTTATTATTTTGCTCCCCCGGATCAAGAAAACCGCCCTTTTTGAGCGAGGGGGGGAGGGAGACCCACACCTTATTTTTCCTACACAACCACTGCTGACGATGCTTTGTCTTCGACATCTGCCCTCCCCTAATAACATGTGGATCTCCCCCCCAAAAAAAGGGGGCGAGGCTGACTAGGTCTCCAGATCATATCCTAAGATAAAAAGGTGTGGTCAAGAAAATCTCCACCACCAACAACAAAAAAGTACAATAAAAACACCTAAGCTATAAAAACAATAACGAAAACACAGAGCATTGGATTAAAAAGAAAAGTACAAACAAACAAACTCGAGCGGCAGACTTGATAGACCACTGGGTCTTTTTTCTGCCATCAGATATATATGCTTCTATATTTCCTCCTACGGCCGAAGAAATTGAGGATGGGGGGGACATCTTCCCCCAGTCCCCTACGTCCCTCCCATTGACCAAATCCACGCCCCTCGAATTATTCACGGATCGGTTTCATTTTATTTATTAAATTTATAGGCCGCCCATCGCTGTTTCCCGGGATTCTGCACAGCTGATAAAGATGACAAGAAGATAAAAAAAAAAAAAAACAAATGACCAAGAAACGCCAATGGATTCTTGAGCTGCTTGGTTCCTGCTTCAAGGTCCAACGCCCTCGTAATGGGCCAGTGGCATCTCCCCACCCAGCTGCAAGGGCCTGCAAGCATAGCTGCGGGGGGGTTTTGTGCAGCCTCTGTGGGGAGGATGTTCCAGAAGGCGTGGCGGGTTAGTTAGCAGGAACATCTGGGGCTGCTCGCAAGATCCCCGGCTGGGTGCAACGCTTCGGGCCTGGTGGGTGCTGAGCATGTGCTCCAGGCTTCCTAAAAGATGCTGAGTGGGCCAGAGTAAAGATATGATTGGGGTGTGTTTTGTTTTTTTTCCAGCTGCAGCCACACTTTGCTCGGTTTCTTGAGATGCTCCTCCTGTTAGCATCTTCCTGCTTTTAAGGGGCAGGAGGCTGAGAATAAAGCAGGTCTTTGATTCAGACGGGGAGGGGGGATAAAATCCATCCATCCATCCATCCATCCATCCATCCATCCATCCATTTCCCCCTCCTGCAGAAGGGTGGGGTGGTAGGAAGGGCTGTGCTTTGTCTTCGGCTAATCTCTTCCATCTTTTTTGACGGCAGTCCCATTACCTTGCAAGCCCTGGTTTTCTCTCTCCTTTCCTTCCCCCCCCCCCCGCGCCCCGCCATCCAATAATTGCAACTGCTAATCCGGTTAAAGGAGAAGAAGACAGGCACCAGATCTCCAAGGCAAAACCTTTCGGCTTTAAGAGACCTTTGTCATCGTCGGTAAAATTGAAATCCACCGCCAGGATGGCTGAAAGGAGCAGATTGTTTGCAAGCACCATATGGGGAATGCACCTGGTGTTTCCTCCCACCCCTCTTCCTCTCTCCCCCCCCCCATCCCTTCCATCAAAGCCCCAGGATCTTCCACTCCCAAGGCAGAGGGACCTGGGCCAGCCCTTGGCTTAATACAGGCCATTTCTGCAGGGAAGTCTGCAGGAGGCGGGGAGGGTGGGGCTGATGCCCCCCCCCCGCTCCGCCTGTCTCCTCCAGCCAGCTGCAATAAATGTGGATTTTCTGGCACTGGTGGGGTGGTTCCTTTTCCAAAGGCATCTCCTGGTCCAGCTGGCTCCGGGCATCCTTAGGCAGAGGGTGACTCTCTCCCTGGGCATTTTGCGAGGATGCGAACCCACCAGTGTGGAAGGCAAGCTGCATACACACGCCACGGCATCTTCTTGCCAGCCAGTTTGTGCATTTGTGCAGGTTTGCACTTTGCCTTCCCGGTAATCTTTCTCGTCTCTTCTCTTCTCTTCTCTTCTCTTCTCTTCTCTTCTCTTCTCTTCTCTTCTCTTCTCTTCTCTTCTCTTCTCCTCTCCTCTCCTCTCCTCTCCCCTTCCTTTCCCTTCCCTTCGTGCATTTGTGCAGGTTTGTACTTTGCCTTCCCAGTAATCTTTCTCTTCTCTTCTCTTCTCTTCTCTTCTCTTCTCTTCTCTTCTCTTCTCTTCTCTTCTCTTCTCCTCTCCTCTCCTCTCCTCTCCCCTTCCTTTCCCTTCCCTTCGTGCATTTGTGCAGGTTTGTACTTTGCCTTCCCAGTAATCTTTCTCTTCTCTTCTCTTCTCTTCTCTTCTCTTCTCTTCTCTTCTCTTCTCTTCTCTTCTCTTCTCTTCTCTTCTCCTCTCCTCTCCTCTCTTCTGTTCTCCTCTCCCCTTCCCTTTCCCTCTGTCTCTCCTTCTCCCCCCCTCTCTCTTTTTTAGACAAATGGTGGACGGTGATTTGTGGTTTCCATTTTGAACACTCTTTAGAAACAGAAACATAGAAAACCAACGGCAGAAGAGAGAGAGAAAAAAAGACCTAGTGGTACATCGAGTCTGTCCTTTGGAGTTTTTTTTTAAATTATTTTTTTAATTATTTTTTTTTCCCCTCGGAGGATACGCGTTTCTCCCCAGCATGTTTCAAGGAGCCTGTTTACAGAATGGCAGATCTCTTTTTTTAAAAAAATTGCAAACTGTCTCTTGCTTTAGGTTGCCCAAACGGGTCCAATTTCTATTCACCCATCATCCTTTCATCCGCTTTAAAAACTAAAATGACATAAAGGGGGGAAGGCGTAACCCAAGACACGTTTAGGATCGGAGAGCGGGGCGCCTACAGAGAAATCCCTAGAATAGGACACCGCGTGTCTCTTTGCCCCTTTCCCTCCCCTCCCCACCCCACCCCACCCACCCCATTCAGGCCTTCTTTCCTGGGAAGGCAACAAGATGCAGCTATGCAGTGGTGTCACAGCCCCTGCAGGAAAAGATTGTTGGATTTGATTCAACGCCATGGAGGGACCACTCCCTCCAAAGCAGTTTGCAGCTCTCCGCCTCTGATTCGGCTAACGAACCCCAAAGGCCTGCTCGTTAGGTAAATAAAATAAAAATTTTAAAAAAAATCACATTCCCTTCCTGGTGGACTTCCCACCAGTACAGAAATCTAGCATCATCATCATCATCATCATCATCATCATCATCATCATCATCCTGCAGTTGTTCCACATCCAGGCAAATTCTACCTACTCCTTATCCCATCCGTGCAACCTGGAAACCCCCCAAAAGCAAAAGCAAATAAAATTAAATACAATTTTAAAAAAGACGACGATGCTGAGCTTTTTGGAAAGAGCTTTGCAGGGGGGACGCAAACCCCCTTATCCCACCCACCCAGACCTCAGGCTCGGAAAGGAGAAGAGCAAAAAAGAGAGAGAGAGAGAAAATCCCTTGGAAAGAGACCCCTGCAGAGAAAGCCAAAGGGGGAAAGCCACCCCTGGTTTTACGGTACCTGAGACGGTGCTGGCCATGGTGAGGATGTTGAGATGGGCGGTGGAAGGACGGCTGCAGAAGGCAGAGGAGCAGGAGAAGGACGAAGAGAAGGAGGCGAGGGCTGCCTTGTGCTGCCTGAGTGCTGCAATGCCGTGGAAGGAAGGAGAGCTGTGACTCAGCTGGAGGGGGGCTGTGGCTTTCCGAGAAGGGAGGAGAAAAGAGGGAGACGCATGTGCAAAAGGGGAGGGAGGGAGGGGGGAGGCTCAAAGGAAAGAAAGGAAGGAAGAAAAGAGAAGAGCGTCCAGATCGGAAGACCCAACTGGCTAGCCAGACTTGGCTTTGGAGAACCAAAAGCGTCCCAGTTTCTGGGGCAGATGTAGAGGCTCTGGACAAAAGCGACACACCCAAACATTGGGAGGTTTCCCCAATGCAGCCCTTCTCTTGTTCAGCACAGATAAAGAGAGGGACCAGCTACTCATTGGTTGTTCTTGGGAGGCTAAAAAGTGAAGAACGGTTGCAGGAATTGGGTATGTCTAGCTTAATGAAAAGAAGGACCAGGGGTGACATGATAGCAGTCTTCCAATATCTCAGGGGCTGCCCCAAAGAAGAGGGAGTCAAGCTATCCCCCAAAGCGCCTGAAGGCAGGACAAGAAGCAACGGATGGAAACTCACCAAGGAGAGAAGCAACCTGGAACTAAGGAGAAACTTCCTGACAGTTAGAACAATTAACCAGTGGAACAACCTGCCTCCAGAAACAGTAAATGCTCCAACACTGGAAGTTTTTAAGAAGATCTGGACAGACTTGAACACTGGGCACTATCTAACAAAATGAAATTCAAGGGTGAAAAAAGCAAAGTTCTACATTTAGGCAAGAAAATGCACAGGTATAGTATAGGGGGTACCTTGCTTAAGAGTAGTAACTGTGAGAGGGACCTCGGAGTCCTAGTGGACAATCACTTAAATATGAGCCAGCCGTGTGCTGCAGCTGCCAAAAACGCCAACACAGTGCTAGGCTGCATTAACAGAGGGATAGAATCAAGATCATGCTAAGTATTAAGACCACTCTACAATGCCTTAGTAAGGCCACACTTGGAATACTGCATCCAGTTTTGGTCACCGTGCTGTAAAAAAGATGTTGAGACTCTAGAAAGAGTACAGAGAAGAGCAACAAAGAGGATTAGGGGACTGGAGGCTAAAGCATATAAGGAATGGCTGCTGGAATTGGGTATGTCTAGTTTAACGAAGAGAAGGATAAGGGGGGACATGATAGCAGTCTTCCACTATCTCAAGCTATCCCCCAAAGCACCTGAAGGCAGGACAAAAAGCAACGGATGGAAACTAATCAAGGAGAGAAGCAACCTAAAACTAAGGAGAAACTTCCTGACAGTGAGAACAATTAACCAGTGGAACAACTTGCCTCCAGAAGCAGTAAATGCTCCAACACTGGAAGTTTTTAAGAAGAGACTGGACAGCCATTTGTCTGAAATGGTGTAGGGCAGTGGTTCTCAACCTGTGGGTCGCGACCCCATTTGGGGTCAAACGACCATTTCACAGGGGTCGCCAAACAACACGATCCGCCATTTTTTCCGCCATTTTTTCCCCCTTTTCCTTAGCTGTGCTACTCCCTCTTATTCTATTGGCTTTCGAAAGCCAATAGAATAGACTCTCTTGAACAGAGTCTAATTCTATTGGCTTTCAAAAGCCAATAGGAATTGTCCAGGACTGTCTCTGCCCTGCTGAGCCCACCAAAAGCCCCAGTCTGCAAAGGGTGCTGCAAGGGGAAGAGTCTGCAGAGCTTCCCTCCCTGTTGAGCAACTAAAAAGTAAGTAAAAGAGGGCCGGGGGTGGGAGGTGGGAGGCCGGTGGGTGCAGGGAGGGTTGCTGGCACGCATGGGGCCCGGCAGGTGCCTTACCTGCCTTGGGCTGGGCCAGCTGGTGGCCCAGCCGGTGGTGGCCCTGCGCCGCCACTGCCGCGGCCGCCCGGGAGCGTCCGGGCCTGCCTGCTGCCGCCCCTTATCGGCTATGCCTCAGCCGGCGCAGGGGGCGGCACTGCGCATGCGCGGCGCGCCACGCATGCGCGGCACATGCTTATGACCGGGGTCGCCAGTATAAAAAGGTTGAGAACCACTGGTGTAGGGTTTCCTGCATGAGCAGGGGGTTGGACTAGATGACCTCCAAGGTCCCTTCCAACATTATTATTATGGATCATCGCACAGTCAGCCAGATGTTCAGACTGGATTTGGCATTTTGTCTACCTATCGAGTCCTTACCCAGGACCTAGGATAGGCAGATGTGGATGTTTGATGGTATTACAGGTATCGTCGCAGGATGGAAGCAGTTCCTAATAAGGCCGCCTTTTGCAATTGACTAATAGCGAATTTGTCAATGCCAATGGTGTTCAAGTGGTGCTCCAGTTGTTTTGGGATTGCACCCAAGGCGCCTATTACTATTGGTACTACCCTTGCTTGCTTTTGCCATAGTCTTTCTATTTCTATTTGTAGGTCTTTGTATTTTGTGATCTTCTCCAGTTCTTTCTCTTCTATTCTGCTATCTCCAGGCACTGCCACGTCCACTATCCAGACTTTTTTGTCTTTCTTATCGACAATTGTTAAGTCTGGGGTGTTATTTTGCAGGTGCTTGTCTGTTTGAATTCTGAAGTCCCAGAGCAGTTTAATTTTATCATTTTCTATGACTTTCTCTATTTTATGATCCCACCAGTTTTTGCTTACAGGCAAGTGATATTTTTTGCAGATCTTCCAATGCACCATTGTTGCTACTTTGTCATGCCGCTGCTTGATTATTATTATTATTATTATTATTATTATTATTATTATTATTATTATTATTATTATTATTATTATTATTTATGGATCATCGCACAATCAGCCAGATGTTCAGACTGGATTTGGCATTTTGTCTACCTATCGAGTCCTTACCCAGGACCTAGGATAGGCAGATGTGGATGTTTGATGGTATTACAAATACTGTTGCAGGATGGAAGCAGTTCCTAGTAAGGCCGTCTTTTGCAATTGACTAATAGCGAATTTGTCAATGCCAATGGTGTTCAAGTGGTGCTCCAGTTGTTTTGGGATTGCACCCAAGGCATCTATTACTATTGGTACTATCCTTGCTTGATTTTGCCACAGTCTTTCTATTTCTATTTGTAGGTCTTTGTATTTTGTGATCTTCTCCAGTTCTTTCTCTTCTATTCTGCTGTCTCCAGGCACTGCCACATCCACTATCCAGACTTTTTTGTCTTTCTTATCGACAATTGTTAAGTCTGGGGTGTTATGTTGCAGGTGCTTGTCTGTTTGAATTCTGAAGTCCCAGAGCAGTTTAATTTTATCATTTTCTATGACTTTCTCTATTTTATGATCCCACCAGTTTTTGCTTACAGGCAAATGATATTTTTTGCAGATCTTCCAATGCACCATTGTTGCTACTTTGTCATGCCGCTGCTTGTAGTCAGTCTGTGCAATCTTCTTGCAACAGCTTACCAGGTGGTCCACTGTTTCTTCAGCTTCTTTGCATAGGCGGCACTTACTGTCTGTTGCTGTCTTCTCAATTTTGACTTTATTATTTATTATTATTATTATTACTACTATTACTACTATTATTATTATTATTATTATTATTATTATTATTATTATTATTATTATTATTATTATACTTTTTGCAGCCATTAACCAGCACTAATGCAACAGGGATGAAAAAGAACTAAAAATCGCCATCCCCCCCCCCCGGTGTCAGAACTTAAGCTAGGAACCAAATGCCACTTCTGCGAAGATCCAAAGCTGGTCGATGCTTCCTTGCCCAAAAGAGCATCAAGCCGATGAGGGGGGAAAGCCAGCATCCCCCCACTCCTTAGCAGGAACCCAGCTGTGCAAATGGTGGCTTCATTAATAAGCCTTTCGCCCCGCTCCTCCGAGGGGAGAAGGCTTTCAGAGCGGCTTAAGTTCAATCGATGCAAAAAAACAAAAAAGCTTTCTCTTTGCAGCTTTGCAATCTGAAAGATTTCTTTTTTTAAAAAAAAAAAAAGGAAGGAAGGAAGGAAGGAAGGAAGGAAGGAAGGAAGGAAGGAAGGAAGGAAGGAAGGAAGGAAGGAAGGAAAAAAAATGCAAAGTAAGGAACATTTTTAAAGTGAATCGCCATTCTCATATCAAGCAATAAACTCCCTGGCCTCGGTTAAAAAAAAAAAAAAATCTGGTTATTCAGCAAGACCATGGCTTGACCTTAACTTTCCCACTGACTTCTCCGGCCTAATTAAATGACAGCTGAGGGGCAGACAAGCGATGGCCTTTCTACCTCTGGATCCTCCACGCGTAGGAGGTCCAATTCTCTCGTTTGGCAGTCTGGCAAAGTCCCTCTTAGCCTGCCTGGCCATTTTGCTTTGGCTCATCAGTACCTCACTGACCTTGGCTGACCTTGAAAAAAAAGGGGGGGGACTGCTTGGATGGGGCACCACCAGGGAATCCCAAGGCCGCGGGTTGGACTGAGAAGCCAAAAGGCCATCTTGGCAAGCTGTGGCGAGATCTTTCGGGGCTGCTGTCAAGCAAGCCACACACCGCGGTTTTAGGAATGAAGTCGGACTTAGGGAAATGGGTCCTCCATTTGTTTCATTGTCTTTGTTGAGTCTTCGAGTCAACGGTGAATGAATACAGCACATTCTGTAATTCCAACAGCCCTTTATTTAAGGTAGTTCTCTCTCGTTCACAGTTCTGAGGCTCGCAGGCCTCTCTGACTCGTTTAATAGCATCCCTGGGCAAAAAGGTAACATTCTGGCGCGCCTTGTGCATGCGCGTGAAGCTGGCGCCACTCAGTCTGGTCCCGGGCAGCTTGCAACTGCCCGGGACCATTGCAACGTCCCGAGCCTGCCTTTGCAGGCTCAGGACACAACAGTCTTGATCTCCGTTTGGAGAAATTGCCATTCAGCACCCGCATTTGGCACTTGACAAACGCCCACTCTATTCTTTAAAGAAACATGCTGTAAGGTTTTCCACTTAGCCTCACAATTGCCCCAGCGTTACTCAGGAATTTAAAAGAGCCAAAGAAAGCCCTGAGCCGAGGTTTCAACAAAGATTACAACTTTATTTGGATCAAAGCAGAGAGGGGCTGCCTGATTCCTCTTCGTGGTTGGTAGAGGAATGAAGGCAAGCAAGCAGAAAAGAGGTCTTCCACCTTTTATACCTTTCCAGAACAAAAAGATCAGGTCTTGGTACCAGGCATAAGATGGCACAAAAAAACAATTCTTAGATGATGACTCATACACAGCAACCCAGGCTCCATCCCTAACTCCTTTTTCCTCTCCCCTTACTGTGCTCTTTTCATATAAGCAATCAGCTATACCTAAAGCATGAAGCCCGTACTTTTCCAATATATATATATATATATATATATATATATATATATATATATATATATATATAGCATCTGATCAAGTAATTAACTACAAAATAACGATTACAAAATAACACTATAAGTCTCAATATAAAATGGTTACTATATCTAAAATAAATGCTAAAGTCAAACTTAAACATACTAAAATCATAAGCACAATAAAATCCCTTCAATATAAACAAGCAAACGCCTAGAAATGTCCGGATTTAACAGTATAAATCGAAAGATTGTAATGAATTTTACTAAGTAAAGAATAGATTAGACTAGACTAGATTAGACTAGAATAGAATAGATTAGAATAGGAATAGAAAAGAAAATATGGAATGGAATGGGAGAATAGAATAGAATAGAATAGAATAGAATAGAATAGAATAGAATAGAATAGAATAGAATAGACATATTGTAGAATAGAATAGAATAGAATAGAATAGAATAGAATAGAATAGAATAGAATAGAATAGAATAGACATATTGTAGAATAGAATAGAATAGAATAGACAGATTGTAGAATACAATAGAATAGAAAAAAATAGAAAAGAATAGAATAGACATATTGTAGAATAGAATAGAATAGAATAGACAGATTGTAGAATAGAATAGAATAGAAAAGAAAAGAATAGAATAGAATAGACAGATTGTAGAATAGAATAGAATAGAATAGAATAGAAAATAATAGAATAGACAGATTGTAGAATAGAATAGAATAGAATAGAATAGAATAGAATAGAATAGAATAGAATAGAATAGACAGATTGTAGAACAGAACAGAACAGAACAGAATAGAATAGAATTCCATTTCCTTAGCAACAATGCAGATAATTTCCCGCCCCCTCTTCTGGAATGATTTCCTGGATCTCCTGATGGCTGGATCTCCTGATGGCCTCCCATCCACCCTGACCTGGCTTGCTATTTGAAAATCAGTCAAGGTAAGCTAGGTATTGAATAGAAGGAAAAATATATACAGAAAGTCCTTGACTTACAACTATTTTTTTTTTTTAGTAACCATTCTAAGTTACAATGGCACTGAAAAAAGTCACTTATGACCATTATTCACACAACGCTTGCATCCTCCCCATGGTCATGTAATCAAAATTCAGGCACTTGGCAACTGTCTCATACTTATGACGGTTGCAGCGTCCCAGGGTCACGTGATCCCCTTTTGCGACCTTCTGACAAGCCAGATTCACTTAACAACCGGGCTACTCACTTAACGACTGCAGTGATTCACTTAACATCACTAGAGGTTTTTAGGAAGAGACTGGCTTAAGATTCGTAGATGGCTGAAAAAGATCACGAAAATACAGATAGAATTTAAACCGGAATTGTTTTTGCTAGGAATAGTAGGATTTAACTATGGTAAGAATGACTATTTAATACTACATGTATTAACAGCTGCAAGAATAGTATTTGCCCAATTTGGGAAAAATGAAAATCTACCATCTGACCAGGCTATAATTTTGAAAATTGTGGACTGTGCAGAAATGGATAGATTAACTTTGGAGATGAAGGAGAAAGAAGATTCAATTTATTTCAAAACTTGGGAAAATTTTTATCAATGGTTAGAAATACGCTAGAATACGATCAGAACTTAAAATTGAATTGAATTTTAAAATTGAATAGAATAAATGATAGACTCTTGATAAAGTGTTATTTCTTAGATTAATAATACCTTTATTATTAGTGATTTTAAATATTAATGGTGATGACTAGAATTTGGTGATATGTTATTAAGTATGAATATTTATTTAGAGGAATTTTACTTACCGTTCTAATTTTAGTTATGTGATTATAGTTAACTTTATCTTTATAATTCCTTAGTATTATACAAATTATGTTTACTTAATATTTAGATCCGGACGGTAGCTTGTTTGTTAAGACTTGGGATTATTATGGGGGTTACCCCATTATTGTACCTACCCTTTTCCTACCCCAAATTCCTATTCCCACTCCCCTCATACCCGTGTTGATCCTATCTTTTCCTTACCTATATAAAACCTAATAATATATATATATATAATATATATATATATATTAAAAAAGAAGAGACTTGACAGTCACTTGTCTGAGATGACATAGATTCTCCTGCTTGAGCAGGAGGCTGGACTAGAAGATCTCCAGGGTCCCTTCCAGCTCTATTGTATTATAACAACTATGACAGGAAAGGTTGTAAAATGGGGCAAACTCACTTAACAGCTGTCTCACTTAGCAATGGAAATTGGGAGCTCCGTTGCAGTCGTAAGTCAAGGACTATCTCTATACTGAACATCCAGATTCAGCATAGTTTCCTTCCATACAGCATTAATCTTGTGAACTTCTGTTATATATTCAAGATGGACAGTATTTAATATTTATTTGTTATGTATATGTAGGGGGGGTGGGTGTATACCAGGGGTAGGCAACTTTGGCTTTTATGATTCGTGGACTTCAACTCCCAGAATTCCTGAACCAGCGTGGCTGGCTCAGGAATTCTGGGAGTTGAAGTCCATGAGTCATAAAAGAGCCAAGTTTGCCTACCCCTGGTCTATACATATGTTATATATAGTATGTTTAGGTGTGTGTCATGTATGTGTTTCACTTTGAGAGCGGGCAACTCAATTTCATTTTTGAGGTGTGCCGTTGTGCCCACAGTAAAAAAAAAAATGACAATAAAGGTTATCTTATCTATCTTATCTTATCCTGATCCCATCCTTCCTACTGGGACTCTCTCCGGCTGTAGTGATGGACTACATGTCCCATTACTTCCATCTGGAAAGCGCAAAGACCCCCCTCGGATACCGCCGGGACCCTTGATTCCTGCTCAGACTAGCCTAGCACGGGTCCTCGGACTACAAACTCCCGCCATTTAGCCCAGTTAGGTCCCCGGCTAGGAACCATGGGGTTTGTAGTCCGGGCGAGAAGCACCTTTGAGTCTAACAGGCAGTGGGGGGGGGGGAGAGAGAGAGAGAGAGAGAGAGAGAGAGGATGGCTTCACCATGGAAACGGGCGGGGGGGGAAAAAGAGAGGGTTACCCGGGCAACGAGAAACCCTCGCGAGACCTTTGTGTTTGTTTGTTTTTTCCCCTCCCTCCGGAGCCGCTCGAGGCGTGAAGCGCGCGCACAGGCGCGAGCCGCCCGGCCAATGAGACGGCGAGGCCGCGGCCACGTGACGCGGCGCGCGGGGTCTGCGAACCGGAGCGCTCCAGCCGAGGTGCGTGAGGGGAGCTGGCGGTTGGGCCGCCCGACTTGAGGCTCTCCCGGGCCGGCCTGGGGCCTTTTTTTGCCCCGCACCCGAGTAGAAAGTCGGGAGGCCGATATCCCTGGGTCCCGTCATGCCGGGAAGGGGGAACCCGCCGGGCCCCCTCAGAATGTGGGGTGGCACGGATGGTGGGGGGGGGGTTGACGCCTGCTTTTTTTTTCACCCAGGCCGCTGAGGGCCTCCTGTGGGACTTAACCCCGATGAGCCTCTGAGACGATTTGGGGTGTTGTTGTTTTTTTAAATGAAGATGCGTCTTTGTTTTGTAAATTGCTCAGGCCTTGGGGGGGGGAGGGAGGGGCTGCAGACCTGTTGATAATCTGGAAGGAAAGCGAATACCTGAGCGAGCCAGCAGGCCTTCCCCGCTTAGAGGAAGATATTTGTAAATCGGGGTTGAAAGGAGAGGCCCTTGGCGCTCTCTGAGCTGGGTTGTTGTCTTGCAGATGTTTCATGACCCAACTAGGTTACATAATCAGTGCTAGGAGGGAGGGTGGGGTTTGGAGGAGTAGGAGGAGGACTGTGGAGTCCTTGGTGTTCACTGAGCCTGGTGGTTTTCCTGCAGATGTTTCATGACCCAGCTAGGTAACATCAGTGCTAGAAAGGAAGAGGAGAATGACTGTGGGGTCCTTGGTGCTCTCTGAGCTGGGTTTTCTTGCAGATGTTTCATGACCCAACTAGGTTACATAATCAGTGCTAGGAGGGAGGGTGGGGTTTGGAGGAGGGAGGAGGACTGTGGGGTCCTTGGTGTTCTCTGAGCGTGGTGGTTTTCTTGCAGATGTTTCATGACCCAGCTAGATAACATCATCAGTGCTGTAAGGGAGGGAGATTTTCAGAGTGAAGAAATCAGAATGGGAGGAGGAGGACTGGGGGGGGGGTCCTTGGTGCTCTCTGAGCTTCGCGGTTTTCTTGCAGACATTTCATGATCCAACTAGTTAATATCATCAGAGTTAGTAGGGAGTTGTGGAGTGGAGGAGGAGGAGGGTGGGGGTCTGTAGGGTCCTTGGTGCTTTCTGAGCTTGGTGGTTTTCTTGCAAACGTTTCAGTACCCAACTAGGGAACATCATCAGAGTTAGAAGGGAATGGGGTATGTGGAATGGAGGAGAAGAATAAAGGGAAGAGGAGAAGAAGGGAGGAGGAGGAGGGAGGGAGGAGGAGGACTGTGGGATCCTTGGTGCCCTCTGAGCTTGGTGGTTTTCTTGCAGATGTTTCATGACCCAACTAGGTAACATCAGTACTAGAAGGGAGTGGGATTTGTGGAGTGGAGGAAAAAAGGGTGGGAGGGGGAGGGTGGGGGTCTGTAGGGTCCTTGGTGCTTTCTGAGCTTGGTGGTTTTCTTGCAAACATTTCAGTACCCAACTAGGGAACATCATCAGAGTTAGAAGGAAATGGGGTATGTGGAGTGGAGGAGAAGAAGAAGGGGAGAGGGAGGAGGACTCGGGGGTCCTTGGTGCCCTCTGAGCTTGGTGGTTTTTTTGCGGATGTTTCATGACCCAGCTAGGTAACATCATCACTGCTAGAAGGGAGTGAGGTTTTCAGAGTGAAGAAATCAGAATGGGAGAAGGAGGAGGAGGACTGTGGGGTCCTTGGTGTATTCTGAGCTTGGTGGTTTCCCTGAGACGTTTCATGACCCAGCTAGATAGTGTCGTCAGTGCTAGAAGGCAGTGAAGGAGAAGGAGGAAGGGGGGTGCAGGAGGAAGAAGAAAAGGACTGAGGTCCTTGATGCTCCCTGAGCTTGGTTATTTTCTTGCAGACGTTTCATTACCCCAACTAGGTTACATCATCAGTGCTAAAATGGAGTGGATTTTGCGGAATGGAGGACAACAAGGACTATGGAGTCCTTGCAGATGTTTCATTGCCCAAAGAGGGAACATCTTCAGTGCACTGACGATGGTCGCCAAGAAATCGAGCAAGCTCTGAGAGCATCAAGAACCCCACAGTTCCACCCTGAGCTACAAATATTCTGTTCTGTCTGTAATGACACTGAATTTCCCCTATTTCACAAGGGGGAAATTGCAGCAGAGATTTGTTAATGGACATTTTATATATACAAGTTCTTTTTTTTTTTTTAAAGAGACCCAATGGGGACAATAATATGTTCTCCTGAATATCTAATGCAGTGGTTCTCAACCTTTTTAATGCCACGACCCCCAACCGGTCGTAAGTCAAGAACTACTCAACCAGTCATAAGTCGAGGACTACTCAACTGGTGCAGCACCGTTTGCAGAATGGGACTTTTGGCGGGCTCAGCAGGGCAGAGACAGCCTGGACAATTCCTATTGGCTTTGGAAAGCCAATAGAATTAGACTCTGTTCAAGAGAGTCTATTCTATTGGCTTTCAAAAGCCAATAGAATAAAAGGGAGTAGCACAGCTAAGGAAAAGGGGAAAAATGATGGACTGCATTGTTTGGCGACCCCCGTGAAATGGTCGTTCGACCCCAAATGGGGTCCCGACCCACAGGTTGAGAACCACTGATCTAATGGAATTATTCATAGAGGAGAAAAGAAGAGTAAGTAAGAAGTAAAGCTGTTACCCTGCAGAACGCTCACAAGTGGCTTCTCCCATCTGTTCCTAAAGGGGAAATTGTCCAAAAGATAGATCTAAAATAAGTTCACACATCAGGGAATGGCTTACAGAAGACAACATTTTTAAAACTTAAAGTTTTCCCTGTGATTAATTAGTTTTCTTTAAACTTGCATCCCAACTTTATCAAGGAGTTGAAGATGGCTTACTTAAATAAATCCCTTTATTTCTGCAATTATAGTTTTAATGGAATAGGTCAGTGGTGGCAAACCTATGGCACAGGTGCCAGAGGCGGCACTCAGAGCCCTCTCTGTGGGCACGTGCGCCGTCGCCCCAGTCCTAGGCCTTCAGCTGGGTTTTATAAAACCTTTTTGCTTTAGGCCTCTGCTGCTGTGTGCAAAAAAAAAAAAAAAAAGTTCCATCAAGCAGTCAATTTCAACTTGCGGGGAAAAAAAATCTTGCAAAGTTGGAATTGATTGATTGAACTTTTTAGTCCCACCCAGTCTGCTGTTACCACCACAGCCACGCCCAGCCAATGGGCCACACCCACCCGGCATCTGACGATGCATAAGTGGGTTTTGGGTTGCAATTTGGGCACTCGGTCTCTAAAAGGTTCGCCATCACTGGAATAGGTTGAGTTGGGAGAATGGTTGGGTCAAAGTCAACCAAAGAGACTGTGACTGATAGTGAATTGCGACAGGTTTTCTCTAGTCTTGATCCGACACATTAATTACAATCTTACATTCACTGGGATTCCTAAATTTATTTAATCAAATTGATAATGGCTGCCCATCTCACACAAGATGACTCTGGGCAGTGCACAACAAAACCAACCATAATTATTGAATATAAAAACTAATTAAAGCAATAAAATAACTAATTAAAACCAAGATTGTGAGAGGATTAAGATTTCATGCGTAGTTATAATTTGGCTGTAACAAATCAAAATAAATACGAAATTTGTCTTCAAGCATTCCATCATTTATTTAAAGGCAATAAATCCTGTTTCTAGTTAAAAAATAAGCCTATTGTATTGTTATGAAGATTTCATTGGCTTCTAATACCTATTATCTGACTGATCCAATACTGCAAAATGTCTTAGTATTGTTAGTAGCTGACCTTGCATTAACAAGGGGAGGATGAGATACAGCCATTTTTTTTACAGATCAACCCACACAGTAAAATTGGGGTTTTAATTGCTTGCTCTTTCTATAATATTCTGAACCTATTTAAAAGTAGAGTTTGCAGCGATCTTGGTAGAGAACTAGAAATATGTAGTTAGTTCACCATGACTGAATGGGTCAAATGTAGTGGATTTTTTAAACCACGGAGATTTTAAAGGACATTTCTTTTGTGGTGAGATAGAGGGATAAACAAACTTAATACCTAAATAAAATTAAATAAAAAAGGAAATCTCACTGCTGAAGTAGAATTAGCGAGATTATGAACCGTCTTGTTGATATTTAGTACTAATGGAACAATATTCCTGATTTTAGGTTTTGTGATCCTGAGATGCTAGACGAAATATGCCCACAATAAAACTGAATGGCATTACTATTGACTTTCCATTTCCACCCTACAAATGTCAGGAGGAATATATGTCCAAAGTGCTTGAGTGCCTGCATAAGGTAAGCATTTGAGGAAATCCTAAGTAAAGCATAATTCAGCCTGCATGTATATCAAATGAAAGAAACTTTGAGGCATACATGGGACTGCCTTTGAAGCTTCAAGTGATCAAAACGTTTCTGTTTTAGCAATGTTGCATCCATACTATGATAGCTGTGTGGATTTGCTTAAGGTCCAATTCAAAATGCTGCTTATTACCATTCTAGAGCCTTACAGCCTCCAGGCATCAGACAGGACAGCAGCAGCAGCATCATCATTTAGTCTCGCTCGGTCATTCAGCAGCGAGACACTGGTGAAATGAGCACAGCAGTGCCTGCATTTTCTGTGTTGCATGAAAAAAACACATCTTCCAACCCCTGATCTAGTATATCAGGAGCAGAGAGGTACAGTTGAGTATCAATAAAGGAGACTTTGAAATAGTCCTTGGTGCTCTCTGAACTTGCTTGTTTTCTTGCAGACATTTTATTATCCAAACTAAGTAACATCATCAGTGCTAGTAAGGAGTAGGATTTGCGTTCAGGTTATATTCTGGTGTCCCTGTTGCTGGGGGTGTTCTTAAGAGATTCTTGGTTTGGGCTCTTTACTCTTGGCTTCTTTGATAGTTTCTTGACTGGGGTATTGTTTACTTCTTGATTGTTGATCTGATATTAAACTTGGGGTTCATCTATGCTCATCTGGGTGTTGATTGCTGGTGGAGAGGTGCTTTGGTCTTTTTGTTCCCTTTTTGGTTAGTTGATTGTCTCTTTTACATAATCCGTAGATATTGTTTATGTCCATGTGTCTTTTGATGGCTAATTTGTCACAGTGCCAAGCTTCTAGAAATCCCCTAGCATTTTTGGACTGTAGTTGGGAGTTGGGACATCCTAGGACAGTGGTGGCGAACCTATGGCACGTGTGCCAGAAGCGGCACTCAGAGTCCTCTCTGTGGGCACGCGCGCCATGCCCCGGAGATGGCAACCGTCCCTCTTCAACCAGCTGCCCACTAACTCGCCAAGGTCCCATGTGGCCGGATGCATCCCAGCACCCATGCGCTCGCTGGCCTCTGTGTGCAGGGGCTGATGGTGTCAGGCAGTCACTGCCCCATCCCCTGCCTCACCTTGCCCTGTGACAATGGCACCCCCGCCTTGCCTCACCCCAAAGGATGAGCCTCCTGCCTACCGCCCCATCTGCCAGAGACTCCCTGGATCTCCCCCAACCCTGCCCCGCCCCCACAGACGTCCCTCCCCATGAGCAACATTGAGGTGATCATGCCCATCTTGGCACACCCACCCAATCTGCCATGATCACCACAGCCACGCCCACCTGGCTCCCGGCGATAAATAAGTGGGTTTTGGGTTGCAGTTTGGGCACTTGGTCTCTAAAAGGTTCGCCATCACTGCCCTAGGAGGATGATTTGAGTCTTCCTTTGTTTTTATGGTTTGTAGTTTTATTATGGTGAGCTGCCCAAAGTCAGATGATAAGGGCAGCCGTGCGTATCTAATAAACAGATCTTTTTATCTGACAATGAAGATGACTTAAAGGCCCTCATCACGGACATAAAACTGCAAGAGAAAGATCCAGGTTAGTGCTACATATTAAAAAGGTCAAGGTTATTTCAGTCGGAGTGCTTTGAGTGGCTTCATAATATTTCATGCCAAATCTGACACGGCTGGTTGTAAAAAAAATTATTGATTGATTAATCCATAAAATCTATGTATCATTTGCTAGATTTAGATGTCTTGAAAATAAGCTTAGAGGACTTAGTTTTGAGGGGTCATATATAGCAGGGATCCCCAACCCCCGGGCTGCAGGCCACTACCAGGCCTTGAGCCTTTTGGAACTGGGGCCATGGAAGTGGTGGGCGAGCATGCGCGCAGGTGCATGTTTCCCCACTTGCACAAGTAGCGAGCGAGGACATGTGCGCACACTCCATTTGTGTGCGAAGCTATCCCTCCCCCCACCCCTCTGGCCTGCAAAGCCGAAAAGGTTGGAGAACTTTGACATATAGAACTGCTTTGAAAACATTGCAGACATAATAAATACGCTCTTCTAACTCAAAGATGAAATTGGCTTAGTTAACTCTGTTGACATACAATTTTTTTGGATTCTGCATATATTTTTACCCTATGCAGAACAGGTGCATTTGGAACATATGAAACCTGCTTAGCATTTTCTGGAAAGAAGCTCTTGTTTCAGTCCTTTCTCTTTATCAGTGCCCGTCATGTTTACATGAGATCTGGAAATAAGAGAAGTGGGTAGGTGGGTTCTCTTTTCTTGATGAAGGAAAAGAAACACTTAAGAAGCCCTTCTGTTCCTGCAATCTGTTCCTAAATTTTTAATAAGTCAGAAAAATACATTCTGCGCCTGCTTAATGCCGCAAGGTAATTTTGGGGGGGGGGCGTACTTTGCTCATGGACTGTTTTGTAAATATTATCAGGAGACCTAGCATCATTTTGAAATTTGATTTGCAGAAGGATACCTCGGCCTTGCTATTGTGATGATATTGGTCTTACTACTGGTAGGAGGGTGCTGGCCTTCCTAGGTGCCCCCGTACAAAAGCTTGCGTAATTTAAAATACCTTTGATTGATTTGTTTGCTTCTTACGGCTATTGACTGAAAAAATGGATTTTTATTCTATCAGGCAAAGAGTTCAATGTAGATTGTATCCCATGATTATGTAAGCAGAATACAAATGAATTTTGCTGCTGTTGGCAGTATTTCTCTAGGGATAATAAACAGTCTCTTGAACAGTATAGAGCCAGTAATTGGGCCAAGGGTGGGCACTTTTTTTTTTTTAAAACGGTTAGGGGTCACATTTCTTTCTGAAAACCATCTCCATGGTTGCATAGGGCATGGCCAATAATGTTACAGTGTCCCTGAATGTCAGGTGGGTTAGTGGTAAGGAATGGGGACCACATTCTTTCAGGATTTTTCTGCAGATAGCAGAAAGCTATCATTTTCTCTCTTAAGTGTGCACACACATACACACATACCCAGGTTGGTCTCATCCACCTCTCTGAGACTCTCAGAGCCATACAATGGTTACTAAAGTGAAGACTGTACAGGGAGTCCTCGTGTCAACGCTGCTAACTTTGGATGTTCTTGCTTTGACAACATACGGAGATGCAGCCTTTTTCTTTCTTATGCTTTACTCTTAGAATTAGATGATACTGGGGGAGGAGGAGGAATGTGATGGGAGTTAGGCATAACAATATTGTAATAGGGTGTGAACTCAGAGCTTTTTGAAATAAGAGATGATAAGAAATGGCGGGTTAGAGAACAGAACTCATCAAATTTGCAGACGACACCAAGCTGGCAGGAATAGCCAACACTCCAGAAGACAGGCTGAGGATACAGGAGGACCTGGACAGACTTGAACGCTGGGCGCTACCTAACAACATGAAATTCAGTGGTGAAAAAAGGAAGGTTCTACATTTAAGCTAGAAAAACCAAATGTACAGGTATAGTATAGGGGGTACCTTGCTCAATAGTAGTAACTGTGAGAGGGACCTTGGAGTCCTAGTGGACAATCACTTAATTTTGAGCCAGCAGTGTGTTGCAGCTGCCAAAAAAAGCCAACACACTGCTAGGCTGCATTAACAGAGGGATAGAATCAAGATCACCTGAAGTATTAATACCACTTTACAAGGCCTTGGTAAGGCCACACGTGGAATCCTGCATCCAGTTTTGGTCACCATGATGTAAAAAAGATGTTGAGACTCTAGAAAGAGCGCAGAGAAGAGCAACAAAGATGATTAGGGGACTGGAGGCTAAAACATATAAGGAATAGTTGCTGGAATTGGGTATGTCTAGTTTAATGAAGAGAAGGATGAGGGGGGACATGATAGCAGCCTTCCAGTATCTATGGGGCTGCCCCAAAAAAGAGGGAGTCAAGCTTTTCTCCAAAGGGCCTGAAGGCAAGACAAGAAGCAACGGATGGAAACTCACCAAGGAGAGAAGCAACCTGGAACTAAGGAGAAACTTCCTGACAGTGAGATCGATTAACCAGTGGAACAACCCGCCTCCAGAAGCGGTGAATGCTCCAACACTGGAAGTTTTTAAGAAGAGACTGGACAGCCATTTGTCCAAAATGGTATAGAGTTTCCTGCCTGAGCAGGGGGTTGGACTAGATGACCTCCAAGGTCCCTTCCAACTTTATATTATGATTATGATTATTAAAAAGCCTGCATTTCAAACTAATTGGAGAATGTGATTTGGACTGTTAATTAGAGAAGGGAATTGTGTTTGAAACTGTATGCTCAGGGGAGGGGAATCCAGATTTTGGCTTAATGTCATGGTTCCGACAGATGAAACTCTTCAAAGAACTTCGAGGCCATTGTTTACCTTAAAGCAGTGGTTCTCAACCTGTGGGTCGGGACCCCATTTGGGGTCGAACGACCATTTCACGGGGGTCGCCAAACCACGCTGTCCGCCATTTTTTTCCCTTTTCCCTAGCTGTCCTACTCCCTCTTATTGGTGGCCACACCCATTTGGGGGTCACCACAACATGGGGAACTGTATTATGGGATCACGGCATTAGAAAGGTTGAGAACCACTGCCTTAAAGAATCTTTATGGTAAACAATGCCTTGAAGTTCTTTGAAGTTCTTTCATCTGTCGGGACCATGACACCTCGACTTAACAACCCTTCACTGTTCAAAGTTACAATGGCCTTGAAAACAGTGACTTAGGACCCACCTTCGTACTTACGACCATTTCAGTATTCCTACCTTCGTACTTAACGACCATTTCAGTATTATGGCGATTGCAGCGTCCCAGAGATCTCGTGATCGCCATTTCTAACCTTCCCAGCTCGTTTCCGACAAGCAGAGTCAGTGGGGAAAATTGGATTCATTTAACAACCATGTGATTTTTGGGCCAGTCACCCAGTACCATGTGATTCACTTAATAACTCTAGTGATCCCCTTAATGTCATGGTTCCGACAGATGAAACTTCAAAAAACTTTGAGGCATTGTTTACATTAAAGAATCTTTATTGGAGTAGCATAGCTTCAGCACTAACATAGTTGAAGCCAAAATCTGAATTCCCCTCCCCTGAGCACATAGTATGAAAGCACAATTCCCTCCTCCCATTAACCGTCATAAATCACATTCTCCAATTAGTTTGAAATGTAGGCTTTCCCTCCAGTTCTCCAGCCCTCCAATTCTTATCATCTCTTATTTCAAAAGCCCTGAATTCACACCCTATTACCATATTGTTATGTCTAACTAACTCCCATCACATTCCTCCTCCTCCCCCAGTATCATCTAATATCATCTAATTCTAAGAGTAAAGCATAAGGCTGCATCTCCATATGCTGTCAAAGCAAGAACATCCGATGTTAGCAGCATTGACACTTAACAGTCATGGCAAAAAAAAAAAAAAGGTCATAACATCAGGCACGACTTGCTTAACAAACGGCCTTGCTTAGCAATGGAAATTCTCTTCCTAGCTGTGGTCGTAAGTTGAGGATTCCTTGTGAATAGACAGACTATAGAAGGCTATCTGTGAAATAATATAAGGCCGAGATTTTGTCCTTATCTAGGCTTGCAGTGTACGGTAGACGCCTTTTGTGAAACGCGTAGAATAGCGGTGTCAAACTCAATTTCATTGAGGGCCACATCAGCATTGCGGTTGCCCTCGGGGGTGGAGGTCAGGGTGGGTGTGGCCTACTGGGTGGGCGTGGATGGAGTGGGTGTGGCCTACTGGGTGGAAATGGCCAGCTCTACATCGTTCGCGTCAAGGGTGCCTGGGAGTGGGACAGATCTGAGGGTCTCTGGCAGAAGGGGGGGGGGACCGGGGCAAGCGCCAAGGCATGGTGCATTTCTTCATTCCTCACAAAGGGTGACCCCTCCCCAGCATGAACCCAGAGGGCGGGGCTGACGCGGCAGGGGCTGGTTCCTCGCTGTTTCCAGACGGCCTTGTGGAGCTAAGACCGAATGCATTTCAGCATAGATGGCCACCACAAAATTGTACACTGGCTCCTGGCTGGCCTGGGCCAGGGCCAAGGCAGTGGGGGCCGTTCCCTCACTGTTTCCAGGATGACTTCGCGGGCCACATGAAACGACTTCACGGGCCGCATCCGGCCCCCGGGCCTTGTGTTTGACATGTCTGGCGTAGAATGACTTTGTGGAATGACTTTTTCCTTGTCTGGTACTGAAGTAAATATTTATTTTCCCCAGTTTTTTTTTCCTTCCTTTTCATTCTCATTTCAGCAAGTGAATGGGATCTTGGAGAGCCCAACAGGCACGGGGAAGACATTATGCCTTTTGTGCTCGACCTTGGCATGGCAGGCCCACTTCAAGGATGCTGTTACCGCACAAAAAATTGCTCAGCGATTGAAAGGGGAAGAGCTCTTTCCGGATAAACCCTCGTCGTCCTGGGGCGATGCTGTCACAGGGACCGAAGTCTCAGGTATTTCCTGTTCATTTGGAAGCCCTCGTCACGTATTTGCGACGAGATTTTTGACCATAGAGCAGGAGTTAGGATAAGAAGTAGCAAGGTTGGCCATTTTGGTGGACATGCCCCAAAGCTAAAAGATTCGGTTCAAGAAATCACATATGCTTAGAGCAGTGGTTCTCAACCTGTGGGTCGGGACCCCATTTGGGGTCGAACAACCATTTCACGGGGGTCGCCAAACAAGGCTGTCCGCCATTTTTTCCCCCTTTTCTTTGGCCATGCCCCTGGCACATGGTGATGTATAAGTGGTTGGGGGTCACGACAACATGGGGAACTGTATTATGGGGTCGCGGCATTAGAAAGGTGGAGAACGACTGGCTTAGAGAAAATGACCAAAAAAACATACAGATTTTAAGCCAGTATTATTTTTGTTAGGCAATAATTGTAGGAAATTATGAGGAAGAGTGTATATATCTAATTTTGCGTGTATTAACTGCGGGGAGAATTGCATTTGCTCAATATTGGAAAAACGAAGATTTACCTATGGAGGAAGAATTAATTAAAATTTTTTAGATTGTGCAGAAATGGATAGATTGACATTTAAAATGAAAGAGAAAAAAGATTCAATATACTTTAGAACAGGCATGTCAAACTGCCGGCCCGTGGGCCGGATGCATCACGACGAAACCGTGCCCACCCCATTGCCGACAATGGGGGGAAAAGTTGTGATACATTGCAAGTTTGACATGCCTGCTTTAGAACAGGGGATACCTTTTATCAATGGTTAGAAAAATGAGGTAGAGAGAAAGATTTAATATGTATTAGTAAGTTAAATCTTGGAACCTAGACAACGTGTTGCTGATAAAATATTAAGCACTTCTGATTATAATAAATAAATATATATATACACACACACACATAACCAAAGACCTACATACAAACACCCGCAAAAAACCTCAGAAAACAAATATACACAGACATATATATATATGAAGTAGCAGGTTGGTAGATACAGGTAGTCCTCAACTTACAACCATTCGTTTAGCGACCATTTGAACTTACAACAGCACTGAGAAAAGTGCCTTACAACCAGTCCCACACTTACAACCTTTGCAGTATCCTCTGATCAAAATTGGGGGGAGGGGCTTGGCAACCGGCATGTATTTATAATAATAAAGTTGGAAGGGACCTTGGAGGTCATCTAGTCCAACCCCCTGCTCAGGCAGGAAACCCTATCCCATTTCAGACAAATGGCTGACCAGTCTCTTCTTAAAAACTTCCAGTGTTGGAGATTCACAGCTTCTGGAGGCAGGTTGTTCACTGTTTAATTGTTCTCACTGTCAGGAAGTTTCTCCTTAGTTCTAGGTTGCTTCTCTCTTTGATGAGTTTCCACCCGTTGCTTCTTGTGCTGCCTTCAGGCGCTTTGGAGAATAGCTTGACTCCCTCTTCTTTGGGGCAGCCCCTGAGAGATTGGAAGACTGCTATCCTGTCCCCCCTCGTCTTCATTAGACTAGACACACCCAATTCCAGCAACCGTTCCTTGTATGTTTTAGCCTCCAGTCCCCTAATCATCTTTGCAGCTCTTGTCTGCACTCTTTATGACAGTTGCAGCACTGAAATAATTAGTAGCTTGGGATGGTGGTTGGTTTGATCACTTGGCAATTTGGCTGCCAACATTTCATCTCCATACAGGGAGGGGACATCTCCAGTGTGCTTTGAATTGTGCTCATCAGTCAGAGCGCCAGCCTTTTAAACACCTTTTTGTGTGATGTAATTGCAGCATCCGGGCGTCACACGATAACCATTTGTGACCTTCCCACAATATTGAGCCGAGGTGGCGCAGCAGTTAGAGTGCAGTACTGCAGGCCACTTTAGCTGTCTGTGTTCAGCAGGTCAGCGGTTCAAATCTCACCGGCTCAAGGTTGACTCAGCCTTCCATCCTTCCGGGGTAGGTAAAATGAGGACCCAGATTGTTGGGGGCAATGTAAATATATACGTACATTGCTTACTGGTGTACACCGCTTAGAGAGTGCTTGCACTTAAAGCGGTATATAAGTCTCATAAATAAATAAATAAAATTGCCTCCAACTGGCAAAGTCAATGGGGGAAGTCAGATTCGCTTAGTGACGGTTGTAGTGTCCATGGTTACCCGATTGCTAGTTGCAATCTTCCCAGCCAGCTTCTGACGAGCAAAGTCAACATGGGAAACTGGACTCACTTAACAAGCTCAAGATTCACTTAATGTCTGCAAGCGGTTTGTTTAAGAACTGTGGCAAAAGCGGTTTAAAAAAAACAACAACACCAAAACCACTGGCCGTAACTCCCTCAACGACTGCTTTGCTTCTCAAGTGAAATCCTGGTCCGAAGGGTGATTATAAGTCGAGGACTACCTGTAATACTGGCCCTCTGTCTTCCTGCAGCACTGCAGAATTTGGAAAGTTTAGCGAAGATGGAGGTCGAAAGAATACGCACCAGTAAAAACATTACTACATGCCTCGGAATCCTTTTTCCTAACAAAAGCAGAAGCTGGTTCTGAGGAAAGCTTGAGAATCCTGCCTGCTGTTTGTGTTGTTGTCTGGAGAGAACTTCAGGCATTGCAAACCAGGGCATCCATTTTCACTTGTCATTTGCGGATGCTTATCCACAAGTGCTTCAAAGCAAATCGCCTTGTTGAAGATAGTTAACAAAAATATGCAATTTTCTCTGTTAGGTGGGCAGTTGGGCTGTAAATTCCCAGACTATCTCCACAGGCTAAATGGTTACCATAGCACCAGCAAGGAAAAAGAGACTGAGGATATATTTAGTTACTAAACACAAACTATTTTTTTTTTGTCTCCTTCTTTTTCCCTCCTGCACACGTCTCCTTTCTCACTTTCTCCGCTTGACAGCTTATTACAGTGATGTCCCTAAAATAATTTATGCCTCCAGAACACATTCTCAGCTTACTCAGGTCATCGGTGAATTGAAGAATACTGTTTACAGGTAAAGAAAAGAATTTTGACTTCAAGTTGTGAAAGTTCCTGGGGTTTATATCTGCCTCACCTTATTTATTTCAGAAGCATCCTTGTTTATTGCAGTGATCTGAAAAAAAACCAACAACCCTGCAGCCACAGTAAAAGAACACATCCAGATAAAAAGCAGGGCCGTACTGATTCAGACCAAAAGCTGATATTTGTCCAACATTCTCATCTGCAGAGGCAAATCAAATTCTCTCTTGGAAGCCAGCAAGCAGAACCTAAATGTAATAAGTACTTCGTCTCAATTGCTGCTTGGAGGCTATTGCAAATGATAATGGAGATCATAAATAGCTTAGATGACTGTTAGCCATTGGTGATTTATCCAGCTGAGCCTATTTCATCTCTTTTTAAAGCGGTCCAAGTTGGGGTCCATCACTCCCACCATGCAGTGGATTTCATGGTAGTTTTAATGATGTTGGTTGGAAAAGTATTTTCTTTTATCTGTGAGGATTTATATCACTCAGCTATGTTTAAGGATAACACAATAACCGTTGGAAGGGCCCTTAGAGGTCTTCTAGTCCAGGCAACAGATCTTATACCAGGGGTCCCCAACTCCCAGTCCATGGACCAGCACCAGGCCGCGCCATGCCAGAAACTGGGCCGTGCAAACAAGCGAAGCCCCATCTATGGGATGCAGGCAAAGCCACACTCTGGTCTGTGCAAAAACCTCTCTTCACGGAACCGGTCCCTAGTGCCCAAAAGGTTGGGGAGGGCACTGCTCTATACTATTTCAGACAAGTGGCTGTCCAGTCTCTTCTTAAAAACTTCCAGTGTTGGAGCATTCACCGCTTCTGGAGGCAGGTTGTTCCACTGGTTAATTGTTCTCACTGTCAGGAAATTTCTCCTTAGTTCCAGGTTGCTTCTCTCCTTGATGAGTTTCCACTTGTTGCTCCTTGTCCTGTCTTTAGGCGCTTTGGAGAATAGCTTGACTCCCTCTTCTTTGGGGCAGCCCCTGAGATAGTGGAACACTACTATCATGTCACCCCCAGTCCTTCTTTTCATTTAACTGGACTTTAGTATTTTCATAGAGGGCAAAGAGCACCCCTCTAGCCATGTTGTATAATTAGATGCCCATTTATCTTGCTTATTCTGCCTCTGCTTTACTTTCCTGGTTTTTTAAAGCTAAAATGTGCCACTGTTTTTCTTTTTCTTGATCTGTGTTTTTACATTACATGGAAGTACTCTGGAATTTCTGCTGTTCTTGTTGTTGAAACAGGCCCAAAGTTTGTGTGTTGGGATCCAGAGACCAGCTTTGCATCCACCCTGAAGTTAAAAAGCAGGAAACCAATCAAATGCAGGTAAAACTAGAGGTGCAAAATGGCGCCAGCTCAAGATTAATCTGCTGCTCTTAGGCGTGATGGGGAACTCAGTTCCCTACTACAAAATTTAATTTTATTAGGTGTTTTTGTAAGTCCAGTTCGAAGCACTATCTTGCCCCTTCACCTCTGCAGGAGCCCTGTCTTCTGATCCTGTATATCACTTTCTTTTATAGCGGGCCGTGGTGGCGCAGTGGTTAGAAGGCAGTATTGCAGGCTAACTCTGCCGATTGCCAGGAGTTCGATCCTGACCGGCTCAAGGCTAACTCAGCCCTTCATCCTTCTGAAGTCGGTAAAATGAGGACCCAGATAGTTGGGGGCAAGAGGCTGACTCTGTAAACTGCTTAGAGGGGGCTGTAAAACACCGTAAAGCGGTATATAGGTTTTAAGTGCTATTGCTATTATTATTGCTATATCCTTTAGTAGACAGCTTCCTATGAGTGGCCTGGTGACCTGGTGGTGAAGATGCTTGCTTCCCACTCCGAAGGTTGAGAGTTCAATCTTAGGTAGCAGCAGATGTTTCTGTCCCAGGGTGCAAAGGAAAAATATCTACTGCCAACTCCGCATGGTGTCAGGAAGGGCATCCGGTCAATAAATGCTCAGCTCCATTTAGTCGCCCTGACTCTACCTCAAATCAAGGGATTACAGGGTCACAAAAAGAGAGTAGAGGGCTTCCTATCAAAGCAGGTGTGTCCAACCTTGGCTACTTTAGAAACTGTGAACTTCAACTCCCAGGATTCCCCAATCAACCCCGTGAAGGGTAACATTTCCACTACGTCCCAACTAAGCAGACCAGTCTCCTCTGCAGGGTGTTGCAGACCATATTGCTGGGGTGAATTTAAACACGAGCACTTACGAAACTATTTTAGTCCCATGATGTGATGCACTGAACTGGGTTTTAATTGATTCGCAGATCCACTTGTGTCGTAGGAAAGTGACAAGTCGTTCGTGTCATTTCTTTAACAACGTGGAAGGTAAGTAGTGTGGATATTGACTGATGTAGAATAAAGTGGTTGTTGATGGGAATATAACAGAATAACAGAGTTGGAAGGGACTTTGGAGGTCTTCTAGTCCAACCCCCTGCTCAGGCAGGAAGCCCTACACCATCTCAGACAAATGGCTGTCCAGTCTCTTCTTAAAAACTTCCAGTGTTGGAGCATTCACCACTTCTGGAGGCAGGTGGTTCCATTGGTTATTTGTTCTAACAGTCAGGAAGTTTCTCCTTAGTTCTAATAGCAGTAGTAGTAGTAATAGTAGTAGTAGTAAAGTTGGAAGTGACCTTGGAGGTCATCTAGTCCAACCTCCTGCTCAGGCAGGAAACCCTATTCGATTTCAGACAAATGGCTGTCCAGTCTCTTCTTAAAAACTTCCAGTGTTGGAGCATTCACTGCTTCTGGAGGCTGGTAGTTCCACTGGTTAATTGTTCTAACTGTCAGGAAGTTTCTCCTTAGTTCTAGGTTGCTTCTCTCCTTGATTAGCTTCCATCCGTTGCTTCTTGTCCTGCCTTCATGCGCTTTGGAGAATAGCTTGACTCCCTCTTCTTCATGGTAGCCCCTGAGATAGTGGAAGACTGCTATCCTGTCCCTCCTTGTCCTTCTCTTCATTAAACGAGACATACCCAATTCCAGCAACCATTCCTTATATGCTTTAGTCTCCAGTCCCCTAATCATCTTTGTTGCTCTTCTCTGCACTCTTTCTAGAGTCTCAACATCTTTCTTACATCGTGGTGACCAAAACTGGATGCAGGATTCCAAGTGTGGCCTTACCGAGGCCTTGTAAAGCGGTATTAACACTTCACGTGATCTTGATTTAAACACACATTTAAAACATACTATATACAACATACAACGGTCACTGACCAAATTGTTGTAAGTTGAGGACCGGCTGCATGGAGTATATTTTAAGAGGAGGAACTATGCTGGAAGCGGCAGTCACAGACAGTTTAGAAAAAGGCCAGGGGTCCCTTCTCCTGGCTTGCAGCCGAGCACTGGTGCTTGTAACGTATTGAGTCCCTTTCATCTTGGAACAGGTTTTCTTTTTTCTTTTTAAACTGTGGACGGGTGTCGAATTAATGTGATGGTGTTAATGTATGAATCAAAGAAAAGCAGCAGGACTTGATTAAAGTGGACTCGGCACGGTAGGTAGGATCTCAAGCCCTATTAAACCTAGCCGGTTCCTTCAGGATTCCCAGAGAGGGAGTGCTTCCTTATCGCTAATCATTTTGTTGACTGATATCTTGAAGACGCATTAATTTTAAAGTAAACTGTACAAGGGGAAAGGTCTAGCAAAGAAGTAGCATCTGCACAATTCTGGTAAACGGGTTCCATTTAAAAAGGGTACCGGTTGTGTATAGAAGGCTATTATGTTTGTTTGTTCGATTGTGTCCAACCTTTATTATTTTTACAAGTCACTCAAGGTAGCAAACATATCCCAACACTCCTTCCTCCTCCTATTTCCCCCCAAACAACACCCCTGCGAGGTGGGTTGGGCTGAGACAGAGTGATTGGCCCACCCAGCTAAGGCCGGACTAGAACTCACTGTCTCCTGCTGATTGGCCCAAAGTCTCCCAGATGACTTTCATGCCTAGGATGGGACTAGAACTCACCGTGCCCTGGTGATTGGCCCAAAGTCATGCAGCTAGCTTTCATCCCTATGGCGGGACTAGAACTCACTGTCTCCTGGTGATTGGTCCAAAGTCACCCAGGTAGCTTTCTTCCCTAAGGCGGGACTAGAACTCACCGTCTCCTGGTGATTGGCCCAAAGTCACCCAGCTAGCTTTCATGCCTAAGGCGGGACTAGAACTCACCGTCTCCTGGCGATTGGCCCAAAGTCACCCAGCTAGCTTTCATGCCTAAGGCGGGACTAGAACTCAACGTCTCCTGGTGATTGGCCCAAAGTCATTTAGCTGACTTTCATGCCTAAGGCAGGACTAGAACTCACCGTATCCTGGTGATTGGCCCAAAGTCACCCAGCTAGCTTTCATGCCTAAGGCAGGACTAGAACTCACAGGCTCCCCCTTTCTATCCTGGTACCTTTACCACAGCTACCATGGTATCAAAATAACACCATGTCCCCCATCCTGCCTTTCTGGAGCCCCAAGTCAAGGAGAAGATGCTTCTAACAAGAGGGATTATCAAGCTCCCACATAGCTAACAAACTCCAGGACCACCCAGCTTTCACCCCTGAAGCCCCATTTTGTTCCTTGCTTTCCCTCCTTGCTTTTGAGGAAAACAACAACAACAATAATAATGTTGGAAGGGACCTTGGAGGTCATCTAGTCCAACCCCCTGCTCAGGCAGGAAACCCTATACCATTTCAGACAAATGGCTGTCCAGTCTCTTCTTAAAAACTTCCAGTGTTGGAGCATTCACCACTTCTGGAGGCAGGTTGTTCCACTGGCTAATTGTTCTAACTGTCAGGAAGTTTCTCCTTAGTTCCGGGTTGCTTCTCTCCTTGATGAGTTTCCAACTGTTGCTTCTTGTCCTGCCTTCAGGCGCTTTGGAGAACAGCTTGACTCCCTCTTCTTTGGGGCAGCCCCTGAGATACTGGAAGACCTCTATCATGTCCCCCCCTCGTCCTTCTCTTCATTAAACTAGACATACCCAATTCCAGCAACCGTCCCTTATATGCTTTAGCCTCCAGTCCCCTAATCATCTTTGTTGCTCTTCCCTGTACTCTTTCTAGAGTCTCAGCATCTTTTTTACATCATGGTGACCAAATAACATGAGCCCTACAAGGTAGACCAGTCTTACGAAACCAGTGCCACTTTGGGCAGTGTTATTTTTATCGTATTAGCTACCGGTATATATAGCACAGATAGCCCTTGACTTACAAGCTTGCCCATGATGGTTGTAAGTCACGACAGTTGTAAAGGAGGCCATCACAGGACCTGATTTTACGGCGTTTGTTTGCAGCGGTTGTTTAGTGAATCGGCCATGGTTGTTAAGTGAAGCTGTAGTCATTAAGCAATGACATGGTCATTAAGCAGATCCATGGCATGCTTTTGCCAGGAAAAAATGGAAATTGTGGTCAGCTGACCACTGACCACTGCAAACAGCCGTCAGTCCAGGCCAGTTGCTGAGCTCCCAAAATACGTGACTCTGGGCCAGCCAACCGTTGGAACTTTGGAATCGGGTCATAAGTCTGTCATAACTTCGGACCGTTGCTAAGCGATTGGTTGTAAGTCAAGGATTATCTGTAACAGAATCTGACTGTGCTTCTTCCTTTCCCCCTCCCTTTATGCATGTGAAGTAGGGGAGAGGGTTTCTTCCTCGACCCCAATTCAAGCACCTCTAGCCAACCTTGGTATCAGTTCTCCCTCTTGTCTTGAAGGCCGTTCCTTCTGCTCGCTGCCCTCTCCAATAATTGTGCTAATGTTTTAATGCTAGAAATCACTCCAGATGATGTTTGGCTTAAAAGGCTTTCTATTAATTTATACCCAATTTGTATTTTGAGCGCAAGATAAGCACACAGTTGATCCACTGTTAACATTAGCCCTTCCCTGAGGAAGATGGGAGGTTTAGAAAGAGGAAAGATAAACAAATTGGATTTTGACTACCCAGGTTCTTTTAGCCCAGTGGTTCTCAACCTTTTTAATGCCGCGACCCCCAACCGGTCGTAAGTCAAGGACTATTCAACCGGTCGTAAGTCGAGGACTACTCAACTGGTGCAGCACCGTTTGCAGAATGGGACTTTTGGCGGGCTCAGCAGGGCAGAGACAGCCTGGACAATTCCTATTGGCTTTTGAAAGCCAGTAGAATTAGACTCTATTCAAGAGAGTCTATTCTATTGGCTTTCAAAAGCCAATAGAATAAAAGGGAGTAGCACAGCTAAGGAAAAGGGGGAAAAAATGGCGGACTGCGTTGTTTGGAGACCCCCGTGAAATGGTCGTTCGACCCCATATGGGGTCCCGACCCACAGGTTGAGAACCACTATTTTAGCCTGAAGATTAAACCAGGAATTTTCTATTATCTAGTCTTACATAAGAGTAGGAGTGTTTTATCAAGCCTCAGGTGCACCAGGAAGACTTGATGCTGATGGATGAGAGAGCAGGACAGCGATGCTTGCAATTGTATTAACTTCCAATATACAACCTCATTTTTTTTTCTCTTTTTCATGTAGAAAAAAGCACCGAGAAAGACCTGATCAATCCCATCTTGGACATTGAAGACCTGGTTAAAAATGGAAACAAACACAGGTCTTTTCTTCGTAAACTCTTGTCTTGCTCTCTTGGAGACATAGCTCAATTACTGTGTGGCTTAGCATTGAGCTGAAATGGCGAAAGGGAGCCAGATGTATCAACCTAGTTTACAGAACTGAAGGCAGTTTGATGCTTTTTTTTGCTGAGATTGTGCAGAAAGCATGCTTAAGTCATTCACTGATCCCGCGGTTGGCCAGGGTCCTTAAGTTTGCCACTGAAAACAAAGGCTGATAGCACAAAGTATTCAAGTTATTTTACGTGCCTTATTCGTGATCGTCCGTAAAGCAAACTTTATATTGCTCATTGAAATTCAGCAGGACTCTGTTGTTTCCTCAAGCTTATTTAACATCTATATGAAGCCGGGCAAGGTCATCTCTTGACACAAGTTAAGTTTCATCACAGTGCTGATGACACCTAACAATAGCACTTAGACTTATATACCATTCCATAGTGCTTTACAGCCCTCTCTGAGCGGTTTACAGTGTCAGCCTCTTGCCCCCCCCCCAACATTCTGGGTCCTCATTTTACCGACCTCAGAAGGATGGAAGAGTGAATCAACCTTGAGCCGGCCAGGATCGAACTCCAGGCTGTGGGCAGAGTTAGCCTGCAATGCTGCATTCTAACCACTGCAGCACCATGGCAGATAGATAGATAGATAGATAGATAGATAGATAGATAGATAGATAGATAGATAGATAGATAGATAGAGGGATAGATAGGGATGGATAGATGGATGGATGGAGGGAGGAGGGAGGGATGGGAGGGAGGGAGGGAGGGAGGGAGGGAGGGAGATAGCTAGCATTTAGACATATACCACTTGACAGTGCTTTATAGCCCTCTATAAGTGGTTTACAGAGTCAGCCTCTTGTCCCCAACATTCTGGGTCCTCGTTTTACTGACCTCAGAAGGATGGAAGACTGAGTCAACCTTGAGGAGGCCAGAATCGAACTCCAGGCTGTGGGCAGAGTTAGCCTGCAATGCTGCATTCTAACCACTGCAGCACCATGGCAGATAGATAGATAGATAGATAGATAGATAGATAGATAGATAGATAGATAGATAGATAGATAGATAGATAGATAGATATAGTCTTAAAAATTAGATAGGATAGATAGATTCTTAAAAATTAGGCAGAGACATAATAGATAGATAGATAGATAGATAGATAGATAGATAGATAGATAGATAGATAGATAGTCTTAAAAATTTGATAGATAGATGGATGGAGGGAGGGAGAGAGGGAGCGAGGGAGATAGCATTTAGACTTATATACCACTTCACAGTGCTTTACAGCCCTCTAGAAGCGCTTTCCAGAGTCAGCCTCTTGCCCCCAACTTTCTGGGTCCTCATTTTACCAACCTTGGAAGGATGGAAGTCTGAGACAACCTTGAGCTGGTCAGGTTCAAACTCCAGGCTGTGGGCAGAGTTTGCCTGCAGTGCTGTGTTTAACCACTGTATTACTAGGGCTTGTAGTAATAAAACTACCCCAGGCCAACCAAATGATACTATCAAGATTCTTTCTCTAGTGTCATGAAACTGGGGGAATGTAAACGGGGGGGGGAGAAGAGAATTTATTTATATTTCATATTTCTCAGCCATCAGTCTCCTTCAGAGAGGAGTTGTGGGCGGTGTACAATATAATCAGTGAAATTAACACCAAACAGAGAATTCATTTAAGATTTATTTTATTTAGAATATTTACACAGCCGCCTGCTCGCTCACAGCGAATTCATTTAAGATTTATTTATTTTATTTAGAATATTTACACAGCCGCCTGCTCGCTCACAGCGACTCTAGGCGGCTCACAACAGTAAAAACAAAAAACAAAATAGAAAATAAATACATAAAATAAAAATAAAAAGATAAAAAAACAATAAACCCCCACTCACCCGGGCGACAGCGCACGATTAAATTAACCGTTTCATGGGCTCCATCGCCCTCTGGGTTCCCTAGGCCCACTGGCAAAAACCACGTCTTCAGGGCCTTCCGAAAGATTGCCAAACTGGGGGCCAATCTAATTTCTGCAGGGATAATGTTCCAAAGAGAGGGAGCCAGTACGGAGAAGGCCCTTCTAAGTCCCACTAGATCAGGGGTGTCAAACTTGTCATGTGACGTGTGGTGACATCGCAACTTTTTTCCCATTGCCGGAGCTGGAGTGGGCACAGTTTCAGCATGACGCATCCGGCCCGCGGATGTACCTCGTAAGGGGATGGGACCTCAACACTCCTTGCCTCCTTGCTCTAGTACAAAGGTAGGCAACCTTGGCTCTTTTATGACTCATGGACTTCAACTCCCAGAATTCCTGAGCCAGCCACGCTGAGGGGAAAGGGAGAGGTTTCCAAGCTGAGCCAGGCTGGCTCAGGAATTCTGGGAGTTGAAGTCCAGGAGTCATAAAAGAGCCAAGGTTGCCTACCCCTGGCCTAGACACACAGAAGCATGCCTGTGTAGATATGGTTGCCTGCTTTAATGACCCACATAACATACAATCATAATTCCAGGCTCAGTTAGGGGCATCTGCCTAGAACAGGGGTAGGCAACCTTGGCTCCTTCATGACTCATGGACTTCAACTCCCAGAATTCCTGAGGCAGCCTGGCTCAGCTTGGAAACCTCTCCCTTTCCCCTCAGCATGGCTGGCTCAGGAATTCTGGGAGTTGAAGTCCACCAGTCATAAAAGAGCCAGGGTTGCCTACCCCTGCTCTAGTAGGTCAGGTGGATGTAACCGGCAAGAGATGATTCCTCAGATCACCTGGTTCCAAGCCCTGAAGGGCTTTCAAGGTGACAACCGGCCCCGTAAATTTAAAAGTTTTTAAATACCAAGATAATACCTATTTATATTTTGTTCTTCAGTATGAAATATATGACTTTGGCTCAACCACAGCAACGCTGAATGGAGATGGGTTTTTAAGGCCCTCAGGACGGGGAGATTTTTCAATCTTCAACTCTGCACGGAGGGTCTTTTTCCCAGTCAGACTTCAGGTGCAACGTATGTGTGTGTGTGTGTGTGGGGGGGTCCTTCTGGCCTCACAACTTCTGATCTAAGAGCAGATGGCAACGTGGCTAGGAGAAGCTTTGCAAAAGTTCATCTCGGGCCCCGGTGGCACTCGTTGCTGGACCAGGAGGCCTTGCTCACATCTCAGTGATTCATTCAACGCCTTACTTATCTCATTTATTTTACTGTAATGGACTCTACATCGAGTTCCCTTGAGAAGCTGCAGAACGAGCGTTGTGGGCAGTCTGGCTCATTTCTCATTACTTTCGTATAACAATAGTGCTCCCAATGGGATTCTGAATGCGATTCAAGATGCTGGTTGCTACCTATAAACCCTCCCAGGACATAATCTCTGATTATTTGTGGGACTGTCTTGTCTTCCATTTTCTTTGCTCGCCTCACCAAATTTAGCAGGAAAGACGCCCTCTGAGCCCATTAAACAATGTCACCCTGTTAGGCCTTGAAGTTGTGCTTTCCCTGTGGCATCTCCTGCTTTAGGCCACAACCAGTGGGATTCAAATACGGGAACAACCGGTTCTCTGTGTGGATGCCGCTTCCGGAAATCCGTTCTGGGCCCCAGGCAACAAAAAATTAGCTACCGGTTCTGCCGAAGTGGTGCGAACCGGCTGAATCCCGTCACTGGATGGGTGGGTGGGTGGGTGGGTGGATGGATGGATGGATAGGTAGGTAGGTAGATAGGTAGATAGATAGATATGATCAGTGGTGGGATTCAGATATGTGAACAACTGGTTCTCTGTGTGGATGCCGCTTCCGGAAGTCCATTCTGGGCCCCGGGCAACAAAAAATTAGCTACCCGTTCTGCCGAAGTGGTGCGAACCGGCTGAATCCCATCACTGGATGGGTGGGTAGGTAGGTAGATAGGTAGGTAGGTAGGTAGGTAGGTAGGTAGGTAGGTAGGTAGGTAGATAGATAGATAGATAGATAGATAGATAGATAGATAGATAGATAGATAGATAGATAGATATGATCACTGGTGGGATTCAAATATGTGAACAACTGGTTCTCTGCATGAATGCCGCTTCTGGAAGTCCGTTCTGGGCAACAAAAAATTAGTTACCGGTTCTGCCGAACTGGTGTGAACCGGCTGAATCCCACCACGGGCTACAACCATGATGTTGGTGGTCCTGCCCTTGTTGACTCTTGTAAGGCATTAAAGACCTGGCTTTTCTCACAGGCCATGTGATTGAGCAAGCTTGGCTAGTTCAATCTTGGTTAATATTCTGTATGAACTGGATTTGTTTCTGACCTTGGATATTAATGTTTTTTTTTTTTTTTGTTAAACATGATTTCTATCTGAGCGGTCTTTGGTGGTGTCTGAGCTTAGTCGTTTCCTTGCAGATGTTTCATTACCCAAACTAAAATCCTCAGGGCTAGAAGGGAGTGGGGCATGCCCTGATGACGTTACCTAATTTGGGTCATGAAACATCTGCAGGAAAACAACCAAGCTCATTTCAGCCTTGAGCTACAAATATTCTCCATTATTTTTATTTCTTGTTAAGTGGCCCAGAATCACTTTGGGGCAATAGAAGATTTTATAAATTAAACCAAGCCATCTGTGATCCATTGGGTCATCCTTCCATGGATATTTCTGTACCTAAACTGAGAAACGGAATGATCAAGGACGAAAAAGCAATAGGAACGGGAGTGACTTCCCACTTCCTGCTGGCATCTGACCATCCTTCAGCAGCCAGTGGCTGGATTGGTCTACCAGGCCTCTGGAAGGCTAGGGCAGGACTGATCTCCAAGGGATGAAGGAGGGATTGGTCTACCTGGCCTGTGGAAGGATTTGTCTATTGAGCTTCTGGACAGTAACGCAGTGGCGCAATCACTCCGAACGATCTGCAGTAAAGCATTTCATGAACCATGTTCACGGTGAGAGATTCCAGTATATTTTACATCAGTGGTTCTCAACCCTTTTGATGCCGCGACCCCCCAACCGGTCGTAAGTCGAGGACTACTCAACCGGTCGTAAGTCGAGGACTACTCAACTGGTGCAGCACCGTTTGCAGAATGGACTTTTGGCGGGCTCAGCAGGGCAGAGACAGCCTGGACAATTCCTATTGGCTTTTGAAAGCCAATAGAATTAGACTATATTCAAGAGAGTCTCTTCTATTGGCTTTCAAAAGCCAATAGAATAAAAGGGAGTAGCACAGCTAAGGAAAAGGGGGGAAAAAATGGCGGACTGCGTTGTTTGGCGACCCCCGTGAAATGGTCGTTCGACCCCAAATGGGGTCCCGACCCACAGGTTGAGAACCACTGTTTTACATGAACATAAAAGGATTTCCTGAGCTCTACGTTTCCTGCAGTCTGCTGCCAATCTTCCTATTGCAATATTTTTCAGCCTTGGCAACTTTAAAAGGCATGAGGGCTTCAACCCCCAGAACTCCTCAGCCAGTTGAAGTCCACGCATTTTAAAGTTGATAAGATTGAGAAACACTGTCTCTTGTATACTCACCAATCAGTCTTTTCGTTCCTTTTTTTTTTTTTCCTCCAGTGCTTTCCCCCTGGTTTTTGAGTTTCAGCATCTTTCTACAGACTCAAGGCCTCATTATCCATACTTTCGTTATCCTTGGTTGTAGGCTAAAATGGAACTTGCCAATGACAAGGAGCAGCATTATGTCAGGATTAAACAATTGGATGACCCAAAATGCTTGGAATAGCCCTGTTAGTTGGAAAGCGGCAGCAGTTTTGACTTAACAGCACCCAATGAATTTATGACCAAATCACAATCTAGATGTCTTGGCATGTAGCATTTTGGTCGTCCATTAAAAAGATGGCAGTTTTTGTTAAGCACAATATTGAAAGCAATTTAATTGAGATGGGCTTTGTGTAATTTCTTTTTCCATTTCTCTTTAAACAGAGTTTGCCCTTATTATCTTTCTAAGAGTCTCAAACAGCAAGCCGATATCATTTTTACGCCTTATAACTATCTGCTGGACTCAAAGGTATATGTTTTATATATATACATATATATTTAAAAACAACAACCTGTTTTCTGTATTTTGGGAAAGGCTCTTTGGCATTTTGCATCTTATTTATAAAGATTTTATTGATTTTCTTTTACATACATATGTTAATTTTTCAACCAACAAGGTATCTGATGTCCGCTAGCTAAGACTCGATTCCTAATCCTTTATTCTTTCCTCTAACTAACAAGAAAATAAGTCCCAAGTTTGGTAGTAATTTGTGTCTTCTTTATCTTTCAATCTCATAGTTAATCTGTCCATCTCTGCGCATTCCAATATTTTTCTGATTATTTCTTCCTCTTCCTTCCTTCATTCTTCTAATATTGCGCAAAGATTATTCTCGCTGCTGTGGTGACATGTAAAAACAAATATAGACTTTGCTTATTAATATTTTCAGGCATTATACCTAATAAGAAAAGTTCAGGTTCAAAATCAACGTGTTTACCTAATATTTTTTCTAACCGCGCATGTAATACTTTTCCAATAACCCTTTGCTTTGCTACATGTCCACCAGATGTGATAGTATGTGCCTGAGTTGTGCTTACATTCCGGCATCTATCTGACATATTTTTAAACATTTTTGCTAATCTTGCTGGTGGCAAGTGCCATCTATAAAACATTTTATATAAGTTTTCTTTATATGAAGTTGACATGGTTAATTTATAATTTCTCTCCCATAGCTTTTGCCACTTTTCTAGTTCTATATTGTAGCCAAAAAATTTCGCCCATCTTATCATTGTTTCTTTAACTTGTTCACTTTCCATTTCCAAAATTAACATCTTAAAGTTGCCATAGTTGAAAAACACTGGGGCAGAATCTTCCGTTGCATCAGGGAATGTGATTCCTTGGCCTCCCACTGGAGACACAGTTAATCATTCTTTGCTGGTGCTTACTGAGTATCAGGCTTAAAGGTAGTCCTTGACTTATGACAGGGGTCTTCAAACTTGGCCCTTTTATGACTGGTGGACTTCAATTCCCAGAATTCCTCAGTCGGCAATTTTGATGAAACTGCGGGCTTGGATCCAGACCAGGGGTCTTCAAACTTGGCCCTTTTATGACTTGTGGACTTCAACTCCCAGAATTCATGTGCCTGGCTGAGGAATTCTGGGAGTTGAAGTCCACAAGTCATAAAAGGGCCGAGTTTGAAGACCCCCGACTTACTACCACAATGGCAACCAGAATTTCCATTGCTAAGCAAGGCAGTTCTTAAGTCAGTCGTGCCCAATTTTATGACCTTAGTGCCTTGGTTGTTAAGTGAATCATGCAGTTGTTAAATGAATCCAGCTTCTTCCATTGCCTTTTTGCTTGTTGGAGTTTAAGTAGTCCTTGACATACAACCATTTATTTAGTGACAATTTGATGGGACAGCGGCACTGACAAAATTGACCTATGACCGTTTTTCATACTTAACAACCGTTGCAGCATCCTGTTGGTCACGTGATCAAAATTCGGACGCTTGGCAACGGACTCATACTTACGACGGTTGCAGTGTCCCCTGGGGGGTGTCACGTGATTCCCCCTTTTCCAACCTTCTGACAATCAAAGACAATGAGGAAGCCAGAGTCACATAACAATCACGTTACTAACTTAACAATTTCAGAGATCCACTTAACAATCGTGGCAAGAAAGGGCGCGAAATGGAACAAAATTCACTCAGCAAACGTCTCGCTTACCACAGAAATGTTGGGCTCCATTGTGGTCACAAGTTGAGGGCTACTTGTGTCGTAGCTAGTGGAGACCAAGTGTTGTGTTTTGCTCTTTTCACAGAATCGAAGAGCTCACAACCTGGACTTGAAGGGGGCCATAGTAATACTGGATGAAGCTCACAATGTGGTAAGTAAAGATACAGTTGGCTTGTTCCTACTTTGTGCTCTTTGGAAAACATTTAGGTTCCCCTTTTTGCAGACAAGTCTTATTAATACACACACACAGACACATTTCAAGAGACTTTAAGCAGGCAAGAGACAGTCATTTGACAGATTCTTCATCAATAAAATGACGGAAAGGATGAATCACCCAAAACATGCAGTGGAGAATTTATGTAATAATGATAATATCATGGTTCCAACAGATGAAACTCTTCAAAGAACTTTGAGGCATTGTTCACCTTAAAGAATCTTTATTCGAGTAGCATAGTATCGGCATATACATAGGCAAAGCCAAAATCTGAATTCCCCTCCCCTGAGCCCATAGTATCAAACACAATTCCCTCCTCTAATTCGCAGTCATAAATCACATTCTCCAATTAGTTTAAAATGCCGGCTTTCCCTCCAGTTCTTCAATCCGCCATTTCTTATCATCTCTTATTTCAAACAACCTTAGTTCTCACCCTAGTTACAATATTGTTATGTCTCCCATGCACATTCCTCCTGCCCCCCAGTATCATCTAATTCCAACTCTAATTCTAAGAGTAAAATATAAGAAGGAAACTGGCTGCATCTCCATATGTTGTCAAAACAAGAACATCCGATGTTAGCAGCGTTGACAGATAAACTGTAAAACCACCTCCTTGGCAGAAGGGGCATATTTTTTTCCCCTAAGTTTAATTTTGAGATATTTTACAGTCTGCCCACTTGCTCCTTCAGAATTCTTACATTGAGGTTATTTCCTCTTATTACTAGACCGTAGGTGTGGAATGGAGGATATTATTATATTTTTAATCTCATTTCCTCAGGGGACCAGTTGTTAAAATGTTATTTAATACTAAATGAGCAAGCACAGTCGGATTGTAAGTTGTTTCTGCTTAGAAGACTTTACAGAATGCAGACCTTTACAGAATTGTTCTTTGTTTTATTACAAGGCTTACCAGTGGCCTCTTTATTTATTGGGTTTCCTGGCCGCCAACTGCATGCAGATTCATGGCACTTTATCACAAAATTAAAACCTCCCTGGTGTAGCAGAAATATATAAATAAAGCAGTAGGCACGTTAGGTCTAGAACACCATCGGCACCATAAAATTGAAGCATCTACGGTAAGAACAAGCGAAGGCCAACCTAAATGGATTAAAACATAGTTTAATAATAATAATAATAATAAAAAGTTGGAAGGGACAGGCAGGTAACCCTATACCATTTCGGACAAATGACTGTCCAGTTTCTCCTTAAAAGCTTCCAGTGTTGGAGTATTCACTGCTTCTGGAGGCTGGTAGTTCCACTGGTTAATTGTTCTAACTGTCAGGAAGTTTCTCCTTAGTTCTAGGTTGCTTCTCTCCTTGGTTAGTTTCCGTCCGTTGCTTCTTGTCCTGCCTTCAGGCGCTTTGGAGAATAGCTTGACTCCCTCTTCTTTGAGGCAGCCCCTGAGATATTGGAAGGCTGCTATCATGTCCCCCCTCGTCCTTCTCTTCATTAAACTAGACATACCCAATTCCAGCAACCTCCGTGGATGGGGCTTTGCTTGTTTGTGTGGACCGGTTCTTGGCATGCCGCGGTCCAGTACCAGTCCACGGACCGGGGGTTGGGGACCCCTGCTATATAGGATTAAAGGACTGACAGCTTCACTGCTAAATCAAAGTAGGGAAGAATTTGATATTAATATCTTGTTTCAGAAAAATGTGCTATCCTCCTCTGTTTACCACAAAGGAGATACCCTTAAGTCTTTTAATTTGAAGCCAGATGGGGAATATTAAGGACTCTCTGAAGTTATTTTAGGGCTTCCCTGAAGTAATATAGCAAAAATATAAAATTTCCCCCTTGGGGGGGAAAAAAGTTGTTCAACAGCTTATGCCGTGTTCCGAAGCATCTGGTATTGATTGACAACAGCAATCAGAGCGGAGGACAGGAAGATTTAGATTCTGCTGGAAGTAGCCAATGAAGCATATTAAAAAGGATTTTTTTTAATGGACCCTATGGATGCCACTGTCGTTGCAGCGCAAGAATTGCCCTTGCACAAACATGCAACATTACTGTCCAGCTGATGAAATGCAAACGTTTCAATTTTCTTTTCTCCCTTTCTAGGAGCAACTGTGTGAAGAATTGTCATCGTTTGACTTGACTCCCTGTGACTTAGCTTTAGCTATTGATGCTATCAACGTCGTCTTAGAAGACCAAGCCAAAAAAGTTGAACGGAATGAAATTAAGACTGAATTCAATATGGAACTTGTCAATTCAGGTAGATTGTCTCAGTCCACAGGAACGTACAAACTAACCGTGCCACAAAAGAGTGGAGGGTATTATATGATAGTATAGTAAATCAGGGGTAGGCAACCTTGGCTCTTTTATGACTCGTCGATTTCAACTCCCAGAATTCCTGAGCCAGCCACACTGAGGGGAGAGGTTTCCAAGCTGAGCCATGCTGGCTCAGGAATTCTGGGAGTTGATGTCCACAAGTCATGAGGGGGCCATAGTTCCCCCATGCTGGCTCAGGAATTCTGGGAGTTGAAGTCCACGAGTCATAAAAGAGTCAAGGTTGCCTACCCCTGTCCTAAGTCCTCCTGTTCTAAGCGGTGAGCCTCCTAAACTGGGGATAGGCAACCTTGGCTCTTTTATGACTGGTGGACTTCAACTCCCAGAATTCCTGCGCCAGCATGCCTCAGCTTGGAAACCTCCCTTTTCCCCTCAGTGTGTCTGGCTCAGGAATTCTGGGAGTTGAAGTCCAGTAATCTTTCTCAACGTCAGAACATTGGGCTAAACCAGGGGAAGGCAACCTTGGCTCTTTTATGACTGGTAGACTTCAACTCCCAGAATTCCTGAGCCAGCCTGGCTCAGCTTGGAAACCTCCCTTTTCCCCTCAGCGTGGCTGGCTCAGGAATTCTGGGAGTTGAAGTCCACCAGTCATAAAAGAGCCCAGGTTGCCTACCCTTGGTATAGTTCGTCCTCAACATACAACTGTAATGGAACCTGCCCATTATGGTCATATGTCATGATGGTCATAAAATTGGTCAAGTCACGTGACCGACCTGATTTTGTGGCACTTTTTGCAGAGGCTCTTAAGCAGACACAGTTGTAAGTGCAAGCATCACGGCTGTAAGCGTGAACCCATCATTCACTGTGATGTAGTAGTTCCTCCAAAAACCAAAAGTGCCGATTTTCAGCAAAGTCATCACACAACACGACCGGTTGTAAGTTGGGAACTATCTTGTAAGCATAATGTCTATGGAGATTCTCCGTCATCCTGGTCATGGTTGTCTCATAGGTGCTTTTTCAAAAGGCACCTGGACTGTTTTTTTCCTTGAGGAAGAACTTCCCATCCAAGAAGCTTCTTCAGTTCTGACTGAGTGGTGGGGGGCAGGAAGAGTTTATTTTAGTCAGAACTAAACCCTTCCATCCCCCCCCCCCAAATCCAGTCAGAATTGATGAAGCTTCTTGGAGGAAAAAACAGGCCAGTTGCCTTCTGAAAAAGCACCTTTGAAACAACTATAAACATAGTTTTGCCTCACGTTAAAGGACAACTTGAGTGGAAGGGGCACTATCAGGACAACGTAAGCATCCAAACAGCTACAGATAGTAGGAAAAAACATTGAATTAATCTCAAACTCTTTGAAGCCTTTAAAACAATCTGCAAAATGTTGATGTGGACCAGAAAAATACTAGAAGCAGTGACATTTTAATAGTCAGACAAGCCAATCTCAGCAATTAAGTCAGGGGTCTTCAAACTTGGCCCTTTTATGACTTATGGAGTTCAACTCCCAGAAGTCCTCAGCCAGGCACACTGAGGGGAAAGGGAGAGGTTTCCAAGCTGAGCCATGCTGGCTGTGGAATTCTGGGAGTTGAAGTCCACATGCCTTAAAATGGTCAAGGTTGAGAAACACTGCTTTAGGGAAAAGTGTACAGTAGAAATGCCACCTTTATCTTTCCACCCATTTTTCTTCTAATTTCTTTGTAACCGTAGCCTCGTTCACTTAATAATTCTATTTTACATCGCTTTCTGGGCGACCAATTAACTCTTTGCACCATGACTTTAATTTACGTTTTACAAGCTCACTAAAGGAAAGAACACAAAAAAACCCCAACCAACTTGACCGCGATCACATAACACACTGACAAATGTCCTCTCAGCTTCAATACAGGACATCCATCACTGGATCCTGCAGTGATCTGATTGGCTCATTGCCAAAACAAGATGACACCTGATTGGCTCTCTAAACACTCATGCTCATTGGCTACCATCAGATGAAGGAAAGCTCTCTGATATCAACCTGAACAAGTTGTGCTTCCTTTTTCTGGTTGTTTGGCTATAACAGTGGTTCTCAACCTGTGGGTCGGGACCCCATTTGGGGTCGAATGACCATTTCACGGGGGTCGCCAAACAAGGCTGTCCGCCATTTTTTTCCCCTTTGGCCACGCCCCTGGTACCCGGTGATGTATAAGTGGTTGGGGGTCACCACAACATGGGGAACTGTATTATGGGGTTGCGGCATTAGAAAGGTTGAGAACCACTGGGCTATAACCTTTCATAGAATACAGTACAGATAATTGAGCAAACTATGTTGCATTACATTCTTGATTAAATTATCTTTCCATTGATATATACTTTTATGGTACTACTCCCAAAAGAGTGGTGTTGTTAGCCATCAAACCTCAAAAATACACTTTTCCCAAAAGGTTTCCACAATTTTGGCCACTGCTGTAGAATGATAGAAAAAAGGTGGCATCTGTATGTCTCAACTGAAGGAAAACTCTTTTTTTCAAACAGGGCTAAACATGGAACTTGAAGATATAGCAAAAATAAAGCGTAAGTACTTTCTTCCTTGTGAGTTTAACCAGAATAATCCTACAGAGGTAGTCCTTGTTTAACATCCACTCATTTGGCAACTCTTTGAAACTAGGACAATACCAAACAAGGGGGACTTAACAACAGGTGTGAAAGTTTGAGCTGCATGGAGTATAAAATGAAGTTGTAAACCTCCCAGAATCATTAGGTAAGAAGGGCAGTGTCAGGTGTGCAAGAAATTGGGAGCCTGGGTTAGGTCCAAAATAAGTACGAGTCTTATTCCACGCTACCTGTAAACAAGCATCTGAATTACTAATGTTTAAGACAAATTGGTAGTAGATAGGAGTCAATGGAATTCAAGGAGGGCTGGACTTAGATCTGTTGCAGGCACAAAGGGACTTCTAAAAGATGAGGTGCTTGACTCTCCTTGGGCTAAGCCTGGTCATCTATGGGTAGATGTAAAAATTGAATAAATAAATAAAACGGTTCTTCAAAACCATGCCCTGTGTGATGCCCTTCAGCGTACATGTAGCAGAGTCAATGCCTCACTTTCTTCCCTGCACTGCACTAAGCAGATGGGATCCCTGGTTTGCTGAGGAGCTGGGAGTATCTTCCTATGTGCTGTCCCGTTCACACACACCCAAACATACACCATGGGCGTTAAGAGTCTTTATTGAGGCTTCCAAGCCTGAATTAGCGTTCCCCAGCAATTCCTTATGCCAGTACTGTGGGCTGGCATAAGGCAAGTCCACAGTTATGCAATCCAAAGTTCAAAGCAAGAACACACAGCAATGAAATGGATACCTTGTTCTCGGCATCGCTTCACTCCCCTTGTTGTTAGTTGTTAGCTGCGAAGTCGTGTCCGACCCATCGCGACCCCATGGACAACGTTCCTCCAGGCCTTCCTGTCCTCTACTATCTTCTGGAGTCCATTTAAGCTCACACCTACTGCTTCAGTGACTCCATCCAGCCACCTCCTTCTCTGTCATCCCCTTCTTCTATTGCCCTCAATCTTTCCCAGCATTAGGCTCTTCTCCAATGAGTCCTTCTCATTAGGTGGCCAAAGTACTTGAGTTTCCACTTCAGGATCTGGCCTTCTAAAGAGCAGTCAGGGCTGATCTCCTCCAGGACTGACTGGTTGGATCGCCTTGCAGTCCAGGGGACTCGCAGGAGTCTTCTCCAGCACCAGAATTCAAAGGCCTCCATTCTTTGGCGCTCAGCCTTTCTTCACTCCCGTATGCTGAGCTAAATAACTGCTTCCTGGTGCAGCCCATCAAGAGGGCGGAGGCTGCCTCGCAAGTAGCCTGCCTGACCTTTGTTGTGCCTGCCTCCTCTCAGCCCTACCTGCTGTTGGATCTGGAGGAGGAGATAGTTGTTCTTCCTCTCCATTGACCAGCTGCAGTCGTGTGCCCTCTCCATCCGAAGCCTCTGGGCTTCCCAACTGCAGCTCTAGTTTAGCCTGTCTCTAGTTCAGCCAGCTGCTAGTCTGGTTGCTCCCCGTGCTAGGTCTCTCCACTCCTGGCTCTAGCCCTCGGCTGCCTCCCCTCCTGATGTGCCCAGGGCTGGCTCATTCTCCCCTGAACTAGCCTCTGGAGAGGCATCTGGGGAAGTGCCCGGAGGAGTCATCACAGCCTGGCCTGGGGGGAAAGAAGGAGGGCTTCCCACTCAAGGTGAGCATCCATTGGTAAAACTTCATTAAATTTATACCCCCTTTTTTTTCTTTATATGCCGTAAAGGGATTCTCCTGCAGCTGGAAAGCGCTATTGACGATGTAACGATCCCACCGAGTCGAGATGGACTAACGAAAGAGGGAAGGTATATTTCAATTTTTTTTTCTTTAAAAAAAAACCAAAAACACCCATCTCTTCCAACTTGGCGTTGCTGTAATTGTTACTTTTGCATGCTTCTCTTTTGGCCAGCCTGTTCCCGTCACAACTGGGACCGGAAAATTCCTCAGTTAAACAGGGTGGTCATTAAGCGAGGCATCCTATGACCGCACCTGAGTTTACGACCTTTTTTTGCTGCGATCATTAAGCGAATGATCATGGTTGTTAAGCAAGACACCACGTGATTACAATTTGCAACCTTTGTTTGCTTGCATGTGTGTATGTTGATTTATTGGTTTGTTTTATTAAATGTTGCACTGCCCATCTCTCCTACAAGGAGAGAAGCTGGCTGGGAAGGGGGCAAGTCATATGACCCCAGAGCACTGCAAACGCTGTAGGTGTAAGGATTGATCATGAGTTCCTTCTTTCAGCGGTGTAAGTTTGAACAGTCGCTAAACCGGGAGACTGTGAGTTCTAGTCCCGTCTTAACAATTGCTCTCTTTCAGCCCAACTCATCTCACAAGGTTGTTGTTGAGGGGAAAATAGAAAGGGGAAGGCCTATCAGTAGATTTGTCACCTTGAATAGTATGTAAAAAAAAGTGGGATAAAACTCTTAAGAAACAAAAAGTGAAGGGTCGTAAGTTAGGACTACCTCTATATCAGTGGTTCTCAACCTGTGGGTCGGGACCCCATTTGGGGTCGAACGACCCTTTCACGGGGGTCGCCAAACAACGCAGTCTGACATTTTTTTCCCCCTTTTCCTTAGCTGTGCTATTCCCTTTTATTCTGTTGGCTTTTGAAAGCCAATAGAATAGACTCTCTTGAATAGAGTCTAATTCTATTGGCTTTCAAAAGCCAATAGGAATTGTCCAGGCTGTCTCTGCCCGGCTGAGCCCGCCAAAAGTCCCATTCTGCAAACGGGGCTGCACCAGTTGAGTAGTCCTCGACTTACGACCGGTTGAGTAGTCCTCGACTTACGACCGGTTGGGGGTCGCGGCATTAAAAAGGTTGAGAACCACTGCCCTATATGAATTTTGGAGATGTTGCCCTAATCCAGGGGTAGGCAACCTTGGCTCTTTTATGACTCGTGGACTTCAACTCCCAGAATTCCTGAGCCAGCCACGCTGAGGGGAAAGGGAGAGGTTTCCAAGCTGAGCCAGGCTAGCTCAGGAATTCTGGGAGTTGAAGTCCACGAGTCATGGGGGGGGGCATAGTTCCCCCATGCTGGCTCAGGAATTCTGGGAGTTGAAGTCCACCAGTCATAAAAGAGCCAAGGTTGCCTACCCCTGCCCTAAGGAGTGATGGCGAACCTTTTAGAGACCGAGTACCCCAAAACCGCTCCCGCCTTGCTCGCCCACAGGGCCATTCACCGTCTCCATGGCCTGCCACATATCGCCCAGGCAGTCCAGCAGCTCCAAGGCGGCCATGCCCTCCACCCGCGCCCTGCAGCGTCATCTGCACATGACGGGGCGCGAGGGCGGAGTCTTGTCCCCGCTGCCCGGCTGCCGTGTCCTTGGCTGCGTTGGTCCGCGTGGGCCACGCTTGGGAGGGGGTGACTCCTCTGGGTGGCTGCTGGTGAGGAGGGGGCCACTGGGGGAGGCGGGGCTGGGGCCATGGCACGCGTGCCCACAGAGAGGGCTCCGAGTGCCGCCTCTGGCACGCCTGCCAGAGGTTCGCCACCACTGGCCTAAGAGAAATCGGAGAACGCAGGGTAAAGAGCAACCACAAAACTCCCATCTTGCAAAGAGCTAAGAGCCTTGCAAAGCAGACGTACACCTCTTCCCAGCTCACATATGCCAGGCTGAAGACCAGATGTAACTCTGAGCCGCTCCAGGCAGTGGGTCTCAAGGGGCACCTGTTCCTTTTGGGGGGGGGAACGCCTGCTAATGAGCAGGTCTGCCATCTTAGTAAAAACGAGTTCTTTAGGCATACCTGAGGCTTCAAGGTGCTCATTTTTCCCCTTCCATATAAAAGAAAGCTTCAAAGGTCCCTTCTGGGTCCTACCCCTCCCACTTTCAGAGCCCCTGGAAGGAGGCTGGCAGGCTGCGTTTCTTAGATCCCTCGTTAAGCACATTTAATAATTAAAGTCTTTTGTACAAGTCAGAGCCTGCTTTCCTTGGCATTGGGGGGGGGGGAAACAACGGAGCTAGTGCAAGAGAGCTGTTTATTTATTTATTATATTTGTAGGCCTTCTCGTGATTGGAGGAGACTGGGCTGCTTCGGATGTAATAAAAATAGAGAGACAAGAACAACTATAAATATAAAAGGATTAAAATTGTGGGGGCTTGGTTGTTTCCTTGCAGATTTTTCATTACCCAACTAAGTAACACTTCGAGAGCAAGCAACTAAATTTCATTTTTTAATGTGTGCCATTGTGCCCACAGTTAAATATCTCTATCTATCTATCTATCTATCTATCTATCTATCTATCTATCTATCTATCTATCTATCTATCTATCTATCTATCTATCTTATCTATATCAGTGGTTCTTAACCTGGGCGATATTGCCCCCGAGGGGGCGATTTCATTTTTCAGGAGGGTGATGGAACAAAAAGCGAGCAATATGGGGGCGATGGAGCGAGAAGTTTTGGGGACACTTTTGAGACTTTTTCGTACAGTGAACAGCTGCATATCTGTCATACAAAAACATCAGATCGCTCGCTATTAATGGATTGAATTGTGTTTTCAAATGTTCCTCCAGTTAGCTCCAGTACAGAACGCCGTACATATGTGAAGACGCATTGCGCAGCAGCCTCTACCCTTTTTATATGTCTTTTTGCATCTTAAATTTCACTTGTAATTCAATCATTAAATGTTACTCTTTTTCTTTTCGGGCATTTCACTTTCTTGCAATTAAATTTTGTTTTCAGTGGTCATTACATTTAAGTGTCTTGAATAACTAAGATAATAATGAAATACATGTATCACGAAGTTTGGGAATAAAGTGATGGGTGGCACCAAAATTTATCAAACAGTTGAGATATGGGAAAAAGACTGGAAATAAATTATTTGCATCGATATGTCCTGATGACAATTTTAAAGAAAACAAAAAAAGGGTTTGCATAAATTGAAGAATTATTTCCTATGTTGTGATTGAGAGGTGATGTTGGCGGAGGGGGGGCGATGACAACTTCCTCATTGGCTCAAGGGAGTGATTCGTTCAAAAAGGTTAAGAACCACTGATCTATATTATCTATCTCTTATCTGTCTTATCTATCTTCTCTTATCTATCTTATTTATCTTATCTATGTATCTTATCTATCTATCTTATCTATTTAATAATAATAATAATCAATTGCAAAAGGGAGCCTTACTAGGAACTGCTTCCATCCTGCGACGATATCTGTAATACCATCAAACATCCACATCTGCCTAACCCAGGTCCTGGGTAAGGACTTGATAGGTAGACAAAATGCCAAATCCAGTCTGAACAGCTGGCTGACTGTGCGATGATCCATAAATAATAATAATAAAGTTGGAAGGGACCTTGGAGGTCATCTAGTCCAACCCCCTGCTGAGGCAGGAAACCCTATACCATTTCAGACAAATGGCTGTCCAGTCTCTTCTTGAAAACTTCCAGTGTTGGAGCATTCACCGCTTCTGGAGGCAGGTTGTTCCACTATCTCCTATCTGTCTGTCTGTCTATCATCTGTCTATCTTATCTGTCTAATCTTATCTGTCTAATCTTATCTATCTATCTATCTATCTATCTATCTATCTATCTATCTATCTATCTATCTATCTATCATCGTCAGTGCATTGATGACATCATTGGTTGCGTAATGAAACGTCTGTCAGATAACAGGTTCATGGAACACTTACAGTTTGAACCCGAGCTACAAATATTCTCTTCCATCAGATTAAAATTAACAGATTATTAAATTACAGAGTTAAGAGATCCCAGGTTAGCAGCAGAGGCTGTGCCTCCTCTGTTACTGCACCAACCACCTCCAGCCTAAAGCTTTTCCATCGGGGCCCCAGGCCAACTGGCAGAGTCAGGTTTTAAGGCCCTTCCTGAAGATCAAGATGGTGGGGTGGCTCTCCGGCAGCGAGAGGTTTCTCAGCAAGAGTGGGAGCCCTGGTAGAGGAGGGCCTTCCAGCCCTCACCAGCCAAAATTCCTTGGCTGATGGGGCTTGTAGTGAGCTGGTTCTGCCAGAACCATAATCCTATCTGCTTTCCCTTCAGCAACTCTGGGGAACGGCTTCTGTTCTTCTTCTCCGCAGGTCACCCTCACAACAGCCTGTGGTTTAAGATAGGCTGGAACATTGGTGTGTAAATACATTGACTTCCCTCTTGTTTGTTGTTGTTAGTTGCGAAGTCGTGTCCGACCCATCACGACCCCATGGACCACGTTCCTCCAGGCCTTCCTGTCCTCTACCATCTTCTGGAGTTCATTGAAGCTCACACCTACTGCTTCAGTGACTCCATCCAGCCACCTCCTTCTCTGTCGTCCCCTTCTTCTCTTGCCCTCAGTCTTTCCCAGCATCAGGCTCTTCTCCAGTGAGTCCTTCCTTCTCCTTAGGTGGCCAAAGGACTTGAGTTTCCACTTCAGGATCTGGCCTTCTAAAGAACAGTCGGGGTTGATCTCCTCTAGGACTGACCGGTTGGATCGCTTTGCAGTCCAGGAAACTCGCAGGAGTCTTCTCCAGCACCAGAGTTCAGAGGCCTCCATTCTTTGGCGCTCGGCCTTTCTTAGGGTCCAACTTTCACAGCCATTCATTGCAACTGGGAAAACCATGGCCTTGACTATACGCACTTTTGTTGGCAGGGTGATGCATTTTTGTATGCTGTCTAGATTTGCCATAGCTTTCCTCCCCAGGAGCAAGTGTCTTGTTAAATCAGACTATTTCAGAATAGTTCGTTGTAAAAGGAGATGCAGTGTTCATCACCGCAGGGGAACCTGGAATCAGCTGTTGCAGAATGAGGCTGTGCTTTCTGCTAACTTATATTTCCAACGAGGCATTGAGCTGTAAAGTCTACTGTTTTGTCTCCTCCCCCCCCCCCTTTTTGGAATCCAACGTCAAGTGTGGGTGGTGTAGTGAAGATTCGTAGCAAGTTTTTTTTTTAAAGAAAGATAATCAGATTTGATAAGTGAGGAATAACAGCATGTTTTTCATCCTACAGAGAAGGGAAGGCCGCTTCCTTTCAGGATGTACCTAAAAATACTTTTTTAACAGTATGTTTCTGTTTGAATCTCTAGCTACATATTTGACTTGTTCGCAAAGGCTCAAATCACGTATGAAACTCAGAATTCTCTCTGTGACTCACTGGAACAAATTGCGCAGTATTTAGCTGGCTGTAAGTATAGACCTCATTTTGGGGGGGGGGAATTACCTCGAGGAGGGTGGGAAAGTATGGAATAAATTTAATATAGGGATTATGAAAGGTAATAATTTTGCCTCCTCTATTTATTTTATTTATTTATTTATTTACTTATTTATTTATTTATGAGACTTATATACTGCTTTAAGTGCAAGCACTCTCTAAGCGGTGTACACCAGTAAGCAATGTACGTATATATTTACATTGCCCCCAACAATCTGGGTCCTCATTTTACCTACCCCGGAAGGATGGAAGGCTGAGTCAACCTTGAGCCGGTGAGATTTGAACCGCTGACCTGCTGAACACAGTCAGCTAAAGTGGCCTGCAGTACTGCACTCTAACTGCTGCACCACCTCGGCTCCTTCTGGTCAGCCCAGCAAAAAAGAAGCAATCTGGGTGGGTGGGTGGGAGTAGCTGGCTTAATAATTTGTTATAGATAGTCCTCGACTTAACAATCACATCAACCCCAACGTTTCTGTTGTTAAGCAAAACAGGTGTCAAGAGGGTCTGTGCTCCAATTTTGTGACATTTTTTTTGCCATTTTTATTAAGCGGCTCCATACAATTGATAAGTGAATCCTGTGATTATTAAGCACATGATTCTGGCTCTCTCCGCCCCCCCCTCCCCCGACTTTGCTTGTCAGAAGCTGCTTCAGAAGCCTGCAAATGACAATCCCAAAATCCTGGGATGGCACAACCCTTTTAAATACACACCGGTTACCAAGCACCAGAGGTTCGATCACGAGACTGTAGGGCAGTGGCTCTCAACCGGTGGGTCGGGACCCCATTTGGGGTCGAACGACCATTTTACGGGGGTCGCCAAACAACGCAGTCCGCCATTTTCCCCCCCCTTTTCCTTAGCTGTGCTACTCCCTTTTATTCTATTGGCTTTTGAAAGCCAATAGAATAGACTCTCTTGAATAGAGTCTAATTCTCTTGGCTTTCAAAAGCCAATAGGAATTGTCCAGGCTGTCTCTGCCCTGCTGAGCCCGCCAAAAGTCCCATTCTGTAAACGGTGCTGCACCAGTTGATTAGTCCTCGACTTAACGACCGGTTGAGTAGTCCTTGACTTACGACCGGTTGGGGGTCGCGGCATTAAAAAGATTGAGAACCACTGCTGTAGGGAATGCTGCCATGGTCATAAGTGTGAGAACTGGTCATCAGTCACTTTTTTTTCAGTGCCACTGAATGGGCAAATAACAACAAGAACAACAATAGTTGGAATGGACCTTGGAGATCATCTAGTCCAACCCCCTGCTCGGGCAGGAAACCCTACACCATTTCGGACAAGTGGCTGTCCACTCTTTTGTTAAAAACCTCCAGTGTTGGAGCATTCACCGCTTCTGGAGGCAGGTTGTTCAGCTGGTTAATTATTCTAACTGTCAGGAAATTTCTCCTCACTTCTAGGTTGCTTCTCTCCTTGATGAGTTTCCATCCGTTGCTTCTTGTCCTGCCTTCAGGCGCTTTGGAGAATAGCTTGACTCCCTCTTCTTTGGGGCAGCCCCTGAGATACTGGAACGCTGCTATCCTGTCCCCCCTCGTCCTTCTCTTCGTTAAACTAGACATACCCAATTCCAGCAACCTCCTTCCTGGAGGTTTTAGCCTCCAGTCCCCTGATCATCATGTGAAGTATTAATACCACTTTACAATGCCTTGTTAAAGCCACACTTGGAATATTGCATCCAGTTTTGGTCACCATGATGTAAAAAAGATGTTGAGACTCTAGAAAGAGTACAGAGAAGAGCAACAAAGATGATCAGGGGACTGGAGGCTAAAACATACAAGGAATGGTGGCTGGAATTGGGTCTGTCTAGTTTAACGAAGAGAAGGACGAGGGGGGACAGGATAGCAGTCTTCCAATATCTCAGGGGCTGCCCCAAAGAAGAGGGAGTCAAGCTGTTCTCCAAAGCGCCTGAAGGCAGGACAAGAAGCAACAGTTGGAAACTCATCAAGGAGAGAAGCAACCCGGAACTAAGGAGAAACTTCCTGACAGTTAGAACAATTAGCCAGTGGAACAACCTGCCTCCAGAAGTGGTGAATGCTCCAACACTGGAAGTTTTTAAGAAGAGACTGGACAGCCAATTGTCCAAAATGGTATAGGGTTTCCTGCCTGAGCAGGGGGGTTGGACTGGATGATCTCCAAGGTCCGTTACTACTACTACTACTACTACTACTACTACTACTACTACTACTACTACTACTAAGAGGCTGGACAGCCATTTGTCTGAAATGGTATAGGTTTCCTGCCTGAGCAGGGTCCCTTCCAACTTTATTATTATTATTATAATAAAATGGGTCAAAGTTCACTTAACAACTGTCTCACTTAGCAATCAAAATGTTGGACTCTATTATGGTCCACCTGTATTTAGTACCCACAGAACTGCGTTCTGCACCAGTTGAATTTTGCAAATGCTCTTCAGGGGCAGCCCCACGTCGAGCGCATTGTAGCAATCTAAACGAGAGTTTGCAAGAGGGCATGGGTGACAGTGAGCAGGGACTCCCAATCCAGAATTGGGCACCTGTTGGTTGATTCACCAGTTTTAGCTCTGTCGGATCAAGGTAACCTCACATCTATTCTAAATAGGAGTTCTGCTGGTATGCAGGCAGTCCTCGACTTACGACCGTAGTTCAGCCCCAAATTTCTGTTGTTAAGTGAGACACGTGTTAAGTACGTTTTGCTCCCTTTTATGACTTTTCTTGCCCAGTTGTTAAGTGAATCACCCCATTGTTAAATTAGTCACCCGGTTGTTAAGTGAATCTGGCTTCCCCATTGAACTTTGTTTGTCCGAAGGTTGCAAGAGCGGATCACAAGACCCCAGGACTCTTGCAACCGTCATAAATGCGAACCAGTTGCCAGATGTCTTGAATTTTGATCACATGACCGTGGGGCTGTTGCAACGATCATAAGTGCGCAAAACAATCATTAAGTCACTTTTTCGCCTGTAGTTGTAACTTCGAAAGGTCACTAAATTAACTGTTGTAAGTCGAGGATTACCTGAACTGAGCTGACTTTGAAACTGCCCAGGAATCATGATTGGCGTAAGCAGGGCCATAACATTAATAAGAACTGGATGCTTTGATAACATTATGGTAAGGCAGGGGTTTTCAAACTTGGCCCTTTTATGACTCATGGACTTCAACTCCCAGAATTCCTGAGCCAGCATGGCTCAGCTTGGTAACCTCTCCCTTTTCCCTCAGCGTGGCTGGCTCAGGAATTCTGGGAGTTGAAGTCCACGAGTCGTAAAAGGGCCGAGTTTGAAGACCCCTGTGTTAAGGGGTATTAGCTCCTTAAAATGCCCAGATCTGAGTTAGACAAAAGCTTTAATTACCTCGTGGTGCCCCTTTCATCCTCTAAACCAGTGGTTCTCAACCTGTGGGTCGGGACCCCATTTGGGGTCGAACGACCATTTCATGGGGGTCGCCAAACAACGCAGTCCGCCATTTTTTTCCCCCTTTTCCTTAGCTGTGCTACTCCCTTTTCTTCTGTTGGCTTTTGAAAGCCAATAGAATGGACTCTCTTGAATAGAGTCTAATTCTATTGGCTTTCAAAAGCCAATAGGAATTGTCCAGGCTGTCTCTGCCCTGCTGAGCCTGCCAAAAGTCCCAGTCTGCAAACGGTGCTGCACCAGTTGAGTAGTCCTCGACTTACGACCGGTTGAGTAGTCCTCGAATTACGACCGGTTGGGGGGGGGGTCGCGGCATTAAAAAGGTTGAGAACCACTGCTCTAAGCTTCTCCCCCTATCACAGTGATGGCGAACCTTTTAGAGACCGAGTGCCTAAACTGCAACCCAAAACCCACTTATTTATTGCTGACTGCCAAGTGGGCGTGGCTGTGGTGGTCATGGCAGATTGGATGGAAGTGACCAAGGTGGGCGTGATCACCTCGATGTTGCTCGTGGGAAGGGATGCCTGTGGGGGCCAGGCAGGGCTGGGGGAGATCCAGGGGGTCTCTGCCAGGTGGGGTGGGGGGCAGGAGGCTCGTCCTGCGGGGTGAGGTGAGGCCACGTGAGGCAGGGCGGGGGTGCCATTGTCCCAGGGCAAGGTATGGCAGGGGCAGACACCATCGGCCCCTGCACACAGAGGCCAGTGAGCGCATGGGTGCTGGGATGCCTCTGGCCATGTGGTTGGTTGAAGAGGGACGGTTGCCATCTCCGGGGCATGGCCTGTGTGCCCACAGAGAGGGCTCTGAGTACCGCCTCTGGCACGCGTGCCATAGGTTCGCCACCACTGCCCTATCAGGTTAAATCTAGTTAAAAATCTAAGGGAGGTTTGGAAGCATACATAGCCACAATCAGCCTACATCTGCCAATGCAACAATTAAAAGTTGCTTTCGCTTGTATTTATCCATTCATGATGGATAATTTTGAATCCATTTCTGAAGAATACATTAAGAGTTTTTGACAGGTTTTGACCTGCTAAATCCAATTTTCCGTTTCCAGATAATTCACTTAAGCACTCCTCTTAAAACCAAGAGTAAACAAAACTGTTTGAAGACTTTTGTTCACATATACACGCCAGTTAGTGAACATTAACCCCAAGGCCTTTGAGGGGCACAGATTAAAATGAACTTGATTAATTTGGTACCTACGTTGACCGTGGTGTGACCTCTCTCAAGTGTGAGTATGGTATCCGAGTCATATCAAATCAACAAGTAATTGTAAAAATGTTCTGGAGTGGTTCCTGTATTTGTAACCTTTGAACTGTTTGAATTACAAAGTGATGACTTGTGTTTTTTTTCCCACTTGCTGGTGGCCTGGTGTCTGTTGTGACTTCCCGTATGATTTAATTGCATGGCTGAATTATGTACTGTTGTTAGGCATGCTCCCCAGTTCAGCTTATGGTCACGCATTCAACACACTCACAGTGTTCCAATATCTCAGGGGCTGCCCCAAAGAAAAGGGAATCAAGCTATTTTCCAAAGCGCCTGAAGGCAGGACAAGAAGCAACGGATGGAAAGTAACCAAGGAAAGAAGCAAGCTAGAACTAAGGAGAAATTTCCTAACAGTTAGAACAATTAACCAATGGAACAACCTGCCTCCAGAAGCGGTGAATGCTCCAACACTGGAAGTTTTTACAAAAAAACTGGACAGCCATTTGTCTGAAACGGTATAGGGTTATCTGCCTGAGCAGGGGGTTGGACTTGATGACCTCCAAGGTCCCTTCCAACTATTAGTATTATTACAGCGCTGGTCATTAGCCACACTCAAATCACCTTCAATTGAACACTGAGGCACAACCGATTCTTTGGAAGACCCGGAGCCCCAGTGAATTTAAAATAACAGCAAAACTTTAGTGGTTATAATGCACAATTTGTTCTCTCTCACACAGATACACACACTCACCCACATAGGTATCCTTCTCAACTAGGGACAGAAGCCACCCACTCACTTCAGCCAACCCACCTCACAAGTTTATTGTGGGGAAAATAGGAAGTATTAAGTATGTTTGCCACCTTGAGTTGTTTATAAAAAATAAGGGCAGGAAATAATATCTCCCCAAAGGATCCTTTAGACAACATTCCTGGCTTTTTATCCACCCTGCTTCATCTTTAGGTTTGGCAGCTTCACCCTAGCTCAGTGGTGGCGAACCTATGGCACGGGTGCCAGAGGCGGCACTCAGAGCCCTCTCTGTGGCCAGGCGCGCCATCGTCCCAGTCCTAGGCCTTCAGCTGGGTTTTATAAAACCTTTTTGCTTTAGGCTTTTGCCGCCCTGTGCAAGAAAAAAAAAAGGTTCAATCAATCAGTCAATTTCAACTTCTTGCGGGAAAAAAAAGATCTTGCAAAGTTGGAATAGATTGATTGAACTTTTTAGTCCCACCCAGTCTGGCGTTACCACCACAGCCACGCCCACCAATGGGCCATATCTACCCAATTGGCCACACCCAGCCAATGGGCCACACCCACGTGGCACCCGACGATGCATAAGTGGGTTTTGGGTTGCACTTTGGGCATTTGGTCTCTAAAAGGTTCGCCATCATGTCCTAGTCTCACACTGTGCATTGAAATCTTTACACTTTTCATGTAAATTTTCACATGCCTCATTAGGGTATATAGCAGCTGACTGAGCTAACTGAATAATACAAAAAAGATGTTGAGACTCTGGAAAGAGTGCAGAGAAGAGCAACAAAGATGATCAAGGGACTGGAGACTAAAACATATAAGGAATGGTTGCTGGAATTGGGTATGTCTAGTTTAATGAAGAGAAGGACAAGGGGTGACATGATAGCAGCCTTCCAGTATCTCAGGGGCTACCCCAAAGAAGAGGGAGTCAAGCTCTTCTCCAAAGCACCCAAGGGTGGAATAAGAAGCAATAGATGGAAACTTTCCAAGGAAAGAAGCAACCTAGAACTAAGGAGAAATTTCTTGATAGTAAAAACGATCAGTGGAATGGTTTTCCTCCAGATGTTTTGGGTGCTCCATCACTAGAAGATTGTAAGAAGAAATTAGACCCTCTACCATTTGTCTGCAATGGTATAGGGCAGGGGTAGGCAACCTTGGCTCTTTTTTGATTGGTGGACTTCAACTCCCAGAATTCCTGAGCCAGCCTGGCTCAGCTTGGAAACCTCTCCCTTTCCCCTCAGCGTGGCTGGCTCAGGAATTCTGGGAGTTGAAGTCCACGAGTCATAAAAGAGCCAAGGTTGCCTACCCCTGGTATAGGGTTTCCTGCTTGAGCAGACAGTTGGACTAAAAGACCTCCAAGGTCTCTTCCAGATCTGTTATTCTGTTGTCTTGTCTTGGAAAGTACTTACGGTCAGTTCAGGTTAGTACTTGGATAGGAGACCACCAGGAAACTCTAGGGCAGTAGGCTAGACTGGATAGTCAGAGTAGCATCTTGGAAGAAGGCAATGGCAAACTGTTTCCATATTGTCACCAAGAAACCTCCATGAAATCACCAGGAATTGAGGTGCTGCGTATTTGATTTTGCTACTTCTTTTGCACTGATGATGTTACCTAGTTTGGTAATGAAACGTCTGCAAGAAAAGAATCAAGCTGACAGAACACCAAGGACCCCTTCTCTTAAAAATGATCATTTATTGCCAATCTTTGGAGGAGGTTTTGGCCTGAAATGACGGGACTGGCCCTTAAGGCTTCAGATTATCATCTCTGTTTATATTGTGAAAAAGTGTTCAGAATTTTAGATAATTTTATTTAACGCCCTCTTCTAAACCTGCTGTACATATGGTAGTGAATAACACAAGGGGAAACAGTGCATTCAATGTAGGTTTATAATGTGCATATTTGGAGGGATATATAGAAATACTGTTTTCATATTTTTTTTTATTCTAGGTTCTGGGATAGTCACTAACGTTGCTGGACTGCATAAACTTATAGATGTAATTAAGGTAAACTTTTAGTTCTTGAATTAAATATATAAAATATATATTTTTAAGCTTTGATGTTCATCATTCTTGATGTTTTCCTAACCACCACTAGGTGACTCTCCAAGCTTTACTTTTCACTGAACTAATTAGGATACGGTAAAAGAGATATACTGTTTGTGTTTTCCAAACTCAGCAACCTTAAAATGTCTGCACTTCCAATATATACTGGCCAGGGTTTCTGGGAGTTGAAATCCACACATCTTAAAAGTTGCTGTGTTTGGAAAACAGTGCTTTAGACTCTGTGGTGTTATCTACTATGAAACATCCTTGATTGATTATGTACCATCAAGTTGTTTTCAACCCGTTCAGGTACATAACACAGAGATAGATGTATACATTAGCAAGAAACAGAAGTAGCTGTTTCATTGGAACAATTAAAGGCCTGGAACTAAAATATATGCAGAACGGTTGCAGGAACTGGGTATGGTTAGTCTAGAGAAAAGAAGGACTAGGGATGACATGAAAGCAATATTCCAATATCTGAGGGGCTGCCGTAAAGAAGGGAGGAGGGGTTTGAAACTTATTGTCCAAAGCACCAGAGGAAAGGCCACACTTGGAATACTGCGTCCAGTTTTGGTCACCACAATGTAAAAAAGATGTAGAAAGAGTACAGAGAAGACCAACAAAGATGATTAGGAGACTGAAGAACGAGGGGGGATACGATAGCAGTCTTCCAATATCTCAGGGGCTGCCCCAAAGAAGAGGGAGTCAAGCTATTCTCCAAAGCACCGGAAGGCAGGACAAGAAGCAACAGATGGAAATTAATCAAGAAGAGAAGCAACCTGGAACTAAGGAAAAACTTCCTGACAGTGAGAACAATTAATCAGTGGAACAACCTACCTCCAGAACTTGTGAATGCTCCAGCACTGGAAGTTTTTAAGAAGAGATTGGACAGCCATTTGTCTGAAATGGTATAGCGTCTTTTGTCTTCAGTAGGAGGTTGGACTAGAATACCTCCAAGGTCCCTTCCAGTTTTGTTTCATTTCTATTCTATTTTATTTTATATTTCTATTCTATTCTACTCTACTCCATTCCATTCTATTCTCCAAAGCACCAGAGGGCAGGACAAGAAGCAATGGATGGAAACTAATCAAGGAGAGAAGCAACCTGGAACTAAGGAGAAACTTCCTGACAGTGAGAACAATTAAGCAGTGGAACTATTTGCCTCCAGAAGTGGTGGGTCTCCAACACTGGAAGTTTGTAAGAAGAGATTGGACAGCCATTTAACTGAAATGGTATAGGGTTTCCAGTCTGAGCCGCTCTGTTCTGATTAAATTATGCTTTTTCTCATCTGCAAAAGTCCAAAGATTTTATTAACTGCATTAGCATAATTAACTGCAAATTTGGTGGCTCCACAATTCCTATCTGGTAGTTGCATTAATAGTACAGTGCGTGCTTGACCTGCTTCTCAAATTAACTCATTTTCTAGGTTTGCTCAGTTCATTAAAATCTAATTAAGCAGGCAGAAGTACAGTTAGGCCTCATTTAACATCCGCTTGCAAAGCACCCGTTCAAAATTACAACTGCGCTGAATGAAAGGGACTTAGGACAGTCCTCGCAGTTGTGGCCACCGCAGCATCCCCATAGTCGTGATCGCAATTCAGGTGCTTGCAGACCCCTTGCAACAGCAACATTGCAGTGTCCCGCAGTCACACGATCGATTGCCTTTTTGTGATCATCTTCGCTGCTGGTTTCTGACAAAGTCAATGCAGAAGCCGGCTGGAGGTCTCCAATAACCATGACGTGACTTTGGGATGCTGCCACCGTACGGGATTCTCCGAAGAACGGCAGGTGGGAGTGGCTCCACTGCAGCCATAAATCAGTGCAGTCACGCAGTGGAGTTTCCGGTTCCAGTTACAGGTAGTCCTCGACTTACAACAGTTCATTTTAAACTGTTGTAAGTCGAGGACTACCTGTAACTGGAACCGGAAACTCCACTGCGTGACTGCACTGGTAGTCCTCGACTTACAACAGTTCATTTTAGTGACCAATCGAAGTTACAACATCATTGGGGGGAAAAAGCGGCGTGACCATTTTTCACACTTAACGGCCATTGCCATATCCTCGTGGTCACATGACCAAAATTGGGACGCTTGGCCACAGGTTCCTATTTGTGACGGTTGCAATGTCCCCGAATCACGTAAACACTTTTTGCATCCTCCTGAGAAGCAAAGTCAGTGGGGAAGGCAGATTCACTTAACAACCAGGATATTAACAATTGCAATGGGACTTCCGGTGGATCTGCGCGCGCGATGGCGGCTACTTTGTAGCAGTCCTCCTGGGTAAGTGTTTGAATCGCTATGAACAGCGGCCATCAGCTGTTCAGCGGTTCAAAATCCCCCTCCCGGGCAAAGGGGGGGGGAAAGAGGGTTGTCTGAATAGTGGTAGAGCCACTCTCATGCACCCCCAAGGCCTTTTTGGGGGGGTGAGAGGAGTGCTCCCACGGAGTTCAGACTGTCTCCGCTTCCCAGCTGCTTTTGTCCCTAGGGACAAAACAAGCCGCTGCAACCACCTCCGCGATTAAAGTGATCTGGTGAGTTTTTTTTAGAGGCGGACAGAGCTGAGTAGAGGATTTAGCTTTTGCTTTCTTTGATTTTATTTGGATTTTAAGTTTAAAGATTTACTTTTATATTCCCTCTTTTTATTTTTTTCCTTTTGTTGAAAGGGAAAGTAAAATGGCGACCGGCAAGCCTTTTGGGTTTTTTTGGGGGGGGGGGAGATAGAATGGCGATCGGCAGGCTTTTTGGTGTTTTTTTTTATCCTTTTCCTTTTTTTTTTAATGATTGGAACGGAATGTGGATTGATTTTGATGTTGGGTTTGGATTTTAGAAGCATTATTATTTTTGTTTAACTTCTTTGTTTTGCTTTTTGTACTTTTAAAAAAATGGAATGGATTTTTTCTATTTAATTATTTTTTTCTTCTTCCCTTTTCTTTTTTTAACTCCTTTCTTTTTATTATAATGATCTCCTTTTGAAGGATTTTTTTATTTTTTGGAGTTAATCTCTCTTTTTCTTTTGTTTAATTTTTGTAACTTTTAAGAAGGAGTAAAGATTTGTCTAAGATGGCTCCAAAGCATTCAGTATTTTTTTGTTATAATGATCTCCTTTTGAAGGATTTTTTGAATTTTTTTGGACTTAATCTCTCTTTTTCTTTGCTTAATTTTTGTAATTTTTAAGAAGGAGTAGAGATTTTTTTTAAGATGGCTCCAAAGCGTCCAGTAATTCCTACAGCTCCTAAGGTAGTTTCTTCTTCGTTGTTATCAGTGCAACAACTTAAATCAATAGCTTCACCCTCTTCCTTGGTACAGCAAATAATTGTGAAGGATTTGCAAGATATGATGGGAAATGTTATATCTCAAATTAGGGCAGAAATGAAAGAGATTTTAGAGGAAAATAATAAGATTTTGAGGCAAGAGATAGTTTTGGCTCTAAAAGGAGTTGCCTCTGTTCTTGAAAAGCTGAACTCTCGTGTAGAAGAGGTAGAGGAAAAAGTGGAATTGATGGAGGGAAAATTTGAAAGCATGGAAAAAGAAATGGAAAATGAGAGTCTTATGCTTCAATATAGACAAGTGGAATATGCCTTAAGAATCCGAGGTTTGGGAGAGTCTGTGCAAGGAGATCTGAGAGAGATGGTTGCAAAGGACTTTGCTGTGATTTTGAATAAAGAAAAAGATGAAATACTTAGTGAAATTGAAAAATTATTTAGAGTTAACTCTGTGGTGGCAGTGCAAAAGAATTTGCCAAGAGATGTGGTAATTTACTTTGGGAAAAGATCCCTGCGCAACGAAATTATACAAGCTTTTTATAAGAAGAGATTTCAAATTGCTTCACAAGATGTTATAATTCTAAAAGAGATCCCATCTAAAATTTTAAGAAGAAGAAAGGAGTTTGCTTTTTTAGCAGATGAACTTAAAAAGAGACGAATCTCGTTCAGATGGGATGTTCCGATTGGAATGGTGGTGAATTAACTGGGGATATGTTATAGACTTAATACTGTTTCTCAAGCAAAAGATTTTTATACTTCGGTCCTGGGGGTATGTTCATCGCCATCTATTAAGTTTAAAGCTTTGTAAGAAAAGAAGGTAGAATTGCAGTCTGAAGAGCCTATACTTATGAAAATTGGGAAACCTCAGTTTGAGGGGCCTCAACAAGTTGAGATGGAGGAGCAGAGGATAACCTGTGCAACATCTAACTGTAAAGAAAAGGAGCAACAGAAGAAGGTTAAGGAAGCCTCACAACTATTGGTTTCTGAATCTGCGGGAGAAGTAGGATTTATAAATTTTTTGGAGCAACCTTTAAGGGGAGAATTGCAGTCTGAAGAGCCTATATTAATGAAAAATGGGAAATCTCAGTTTGAGGGGCCTCAACAAGTCGAGATGAAGGAGCAGAGGACAACTCGTGCAACATATAATCGTAAAGAAAAAGAGCAACAGAAGAAGGAGTTTAAGGAAGCCTCACAAGTATTGGCTCCTGAGTCTGCGGGAGAAGCAGGATTTATAAACTTTTTGGAGCTACCTTTAAGGGCAGATTTCAAAGCACTTCTTTCGAGATTTATGGATAAGAGAGACTGACGAGGATGGAGATTGAATGAAAATTCTAGATAAGAAGTTTAAGTTTAAGTACTTAGTTTAAGTATTCAAAAGAGTACTGAGTCTGTGGGAGAAGCAAGATTTACAAACTTTTTGGAGTTAGCTTTAAGGGCAGTTTTCAAAGCACTTCCTTTGAGGTTTATGGACAAGAGAGACTGATAAGGAATCTGTTTATTGTGGATGGAATTTGTTATTGGTAAAGATTTAAATGTGTATAAGGGAATTTTAATGGTTTATGGACAAGAGAGACTGATAAGGAATGTGTTTATTGTGGATGGAATTTGTTATTAGTAAAGATTTAAATGTGTATAAGGGAATTTTAATGTTTCAAGTAATGTTTAAATTTGTGTTTTGGAGGGAGTTTATAAAGAA